GTTCGAACATTTTTTTGGGAAAAAAAAAGCCCTACAAATCGATTTGTAGGGCTTTTTAACATAAAATTGGTTCGGTAATCGACCTACCCAATGCATATTACACATAAAAGAGTGGAAAATACATCAAAAAATGGAAGCCCACCCCTTTTTTAAGCTTGATTTTGAATTTTCAATTTTTTTTTCTTTTTTTACTATTTGCAGTTGGGGGGGGGGGGGTTTGATTTTTTTGGAAAGTTTTGGGGGAGTTTTGTAAAAAATCGCAAATAGCAATTTTGTAACCGTAAATAGCATTTCATTATAATATTTCATTACTCCCACAAAAGGATTGCCACTTTTAACTAAGGCTGTGATTTGAAAAGCGGTGTCACCAAACTCCGCCGCCGGAGAAATGGATCGGAAAAGACCATGGGAGGCTCTACCAAACCTAGCTCTTGCGAATATATTTTGTAGAACCTCCATTAAAGATCGATCCCATAACATTCCTTTCGTTTGCAGATCATGGGCCCACGCCGCTCGCCATCCCCCGTGCTGGGCTTCCATGGTGGCTGAAAATCACTATTTTCCTGGTAATTCGGCCGCCGATTTTGCCTTTTTGTTAGACTCTCACTCTAATTTCGCTAGTTTTGTGGACCCTTATGATGGGAGGAGAAGCCCACATCCTCACCGTGGCTTAGCAAGCTTGCAGGGGCTGATCGGAAGAGCAGGTGGCGGCGCCGCCGTGACTTCTATCTATTTCTTCCCATTTCTCACTTCCGCCGGCGCCACTCCTAACGATGGCGCTATTCTTTTCCTCATCGCCGAACAGTGAGTATTAATTAACACATTTGATTACTGTTATCTGTCAATTTTATTTGGGGGAATTTACAGTTAAATTATTTTAAATTTAAATTAATAATAAAAACATAGTTGTTTGTTTCCATCTTTAAATTAAGGGATGTGATAAATGTCGTTCGAGCTTTAATAATATCGTTACGACTTCAAACGTGATTTTGATCATTTTTAATTCCAAATTTTGCAAAACTCGAAAAATAGAAGTTGTAGTATTCTGAGTTAGTTTTCTAATCCAACTTGAATCACCAAAATTGGATGTCATACGAGAAAGATATACATCAATCAATCAATGGATACTGCCCATAACTTTGATGTATTGAGGTATCTAAAATTCAAAATGTGACTCATTCATGCATAACTTTGTCACAAGGCATCCAATCTAGCGGATTTAATTGGATTAGAAAGCTAACCCAAAGGACTACAGTTTTCGTGTTTCGAATTTTGCCAAAATCAAAATAGAAATATGTCAAAATCAGGTTTGAAGTCAAAACGACATTAGTGAAATTGAAACGACATTTAACATTTCAGTTAAATTAATTAATAACAACATTATATATATATATGTTCTAGGTGCCCAAACTTGAAGCACATATCTTTCCATGGATCTTACAATGCTTCACAAGCAGCAATATTAGAAATCATCCACTGCTGTAAAAAGCTCGAGCTCGTAGATTTCTCCGATTCTCCGTATTTCAACGCTTCGATTCTGGAGGAATTGAGCATCTCTTGCCCTAATATCAGGGGAATTAGAAGGAACGGTAATTTGGAGCCATCGTTTTCGCGCGCACTTAGTACCGGATTTAATTGCTTGAAGCTCGTAAATTTCTCCAATTCGACATTGGTCGATAAAGACCTCCTCAAAATCGTGACATCTTGCAAGAAACTATGCTATCTAGACGTTACGGGATGCCAAGGGTTGATATATTACATGCACATTATAAAGGTTGCCTCTGCAAAGATTGCCAATATTCTGTACGATTGATCTTTTCGATTTTCTTTTTTTTAAATCGAAATATGAAATTTTGTGACTCGAGTTTTTTCCGGTTTGTTGGTTAGTGATGAGGCAATGTAGTGAATATTTTTTTATGTGTGCAGTGATTCTATTTATTTTTTAGATGGGAAAAATGTGCACGTTTAAAACAAGTCTTTGAAAAGGGCTTTTGGCATAACAGACACATGCATACTGTCAAAAATTCACTAAAAGAATAAAGATAAGGTGGTTGTGCTTTGTGGTTGTAGTGGTGATTTAACTATAATTATCATATATAATATTTCACATGGCATTTTATGCGTGTTGATTATAATTACTTTTTAGTGGAAATATCATATGTATATATATATAGATGATGTGATTTTGATTCTGTGACTTGTTGACACCTAGCTTTGTTTTAATGTGGGCACCATTCAGTAATCACCAAACAATAGAATATGAAAATAGTATAACAAATAATTGATGTCTTGTTTTAGATAATTCATTATCTAGCTACCAGATCATGGCTTCATACTTGACATTAGATTAATTCATTCTCAATCTCTGCACACCTGAGAATTAAACACACACACACACATACACACACACACACACACACACACACACACACACACACACACACACACACACACACACACACAGACAAAGTAGTTCAATAGAAGAGTGGTGATGGAGGAGCTGGGAAGGCTGAGCCACCTGTACGTGACGGTGTTTCTGTCATATTTTTCATTATATTTGGTGAATCCGGCGATCCCAGATGTTACCGTGCAGGCTGTTTGTGGCGGCGGTAAAGAGGAGTGCTCGCTCGCCATTTACCTCACCGGTTTCACGCAAGCTGTACGTACATATATTATATATGTTCTTAGCTAATTATATATGTCTTTATAACGACTCTAATCAATATAATGCAGATCACTGGGTTGGGTGCGGTGGTGATGATGCCGATGATCGGCAATCTTTCGGATGTTTATGGTCGGAAAAATTTGATGACTATTCCTATGACTCTTGCAATAATACCACTTGGTATGTACATGTTACAATATATTCTCCATTTTTTATTTTTTATTTAATTAAGATTGGTTGTCAGTGTTATGAATTAATTGTAATTAATGCAGTAATTATGGCATGGAATCGAACGACGAACTTCTATTATGCATACTATGTATTCAAGACATTGACCGACATTGTTGCAGATGGTGGTATTCTCTGCCTTGCTCTTGGCTATTTGGTACTATGCTCTACTCATCGTCTTATCAATTATTTTTTTTTAATAAATTTAAACTTTTATTTCATCACAAATTTACATTTTATAATTACAATAATTGCGTTTTTTTAATTATATTATAAGTGGATGAATAAATTAAATTTTCAAATTATTTATATTTTGATCTACAATATGGAATATTCGTTCCAATTATAGAAATGTAATTACTATTTTTTATTAATATTCTCAACTAGTTTAAACAACCGGAACTTTATTTCCCAGGCGGACTGTGTAGCAGAAGGGAAGCGAGTGGCCGTATTTTCAGTATTGAGCGGTGTAATTTGCGGTGCAAACGTCTGTGGTTCTTTGGCCGCTCGTTTACTCTCAACACCTCACATCTTTCAGGTACGTTCCATTTGTTTACATAATTTTTACACCCGCCACCTGTTTGCTTTAATGTTTCACTGAAAACAAAACTATATTTTGTCAGGTTGCCGCAGTTATATCAATTGTTGCAGCAATTTATATGAGAGTCTTTCTCAAAGACCCAGTTCGTGAAAAAAATGATATGTTGTTGGAGCAGCCAATCTTGAACCCCGGAAAAGGAAGTAGCAAATCATCGGAAAATATAAGCTTCATTCATCAAATTCCATCGCCAAAAGATGTATTTATTCTGTTCAGGAGTAGGTACAAACCATCATCTTATAAATATTCTAACATCGATCTTTACGAAGAAGTAACCTACGGGGTTTCGATTTTGTTTCAACTTTGTGTGTTCATCTTATTGCAGCAATAAATTTGCACTAGCTGCATCTGTTAGTTTCTTCACTAGTCTCGCTGAGGCTGGAGGTGCAGCATTCTTGATGGTATATATATATATATATATATCATATGAACATGGTGTTTCTTGAGTGACATTGCTGGATATTCGGCCCTATCTCTTCTCTAAAATCAAATCTCGTTTTAAACGTGAAATAACAATTTTAGTCTTTTGTTTGTCTTCTCTTATCTTGCAGTATTTCTTGAAGGCCCGTTTCCACTTCAATAAGGACCAATTCGCAGTAGTACTTCTGATTACAAACCTCGGAGCAACTCTAACTAATGTATCTTCATAGCTACAATTTTCGAACTTCATCGACTCTTCCTTTTCTGTCTCCCGTTTCATTTATTCTATTGATATATATATATATATATATTATATATCCACAAATTGTCACTATTTGCCTACAGGCTATTTTCATGCCTATATTAGGACCTATTGTGGGAGAAGAGACGCTGCTTTGTGTTGCACTCTTCAACGGATTCCTAAATGTGCGTGTAACTTCCATTTTCACTCCAAATTCAAGCCCTCATTTTTTCATTTTCTATGTCGTTTTTTTGACATACTAATTGAACTTTGTTTTTTTTTCTTATTTTGTGCAGATGCTATTTGATAGCATAGCATGGTCAGCTTGGGTTAGTAGTTTGCATTAAGCATTCTTAACGCACGTCTCCTAATTATAATACTACGTCACCAACTTGTCTCCGTCTTTTTTTCTGTTTGCGTAGGTACCATATGCTTCTGCATCGCTGGGGATGTTCTTTACACTGTCGAGCCCGTGTGTAGGTTTCGTAATTCAGTTCTGAACAAACTTCTTTTATATTTCAATTTCATTATATCAAGAATGTTTTTAATGATATATATTTTGAAGTGCAGATCAGAAGCATAGTTTCCAAAGAAGTTAAGTCCAGTGAACAAGTAAGTTTTACGATTGAAGTAGTGTGTCGATGTTATCGTTTCTTTACCTTTAACATTTTATTTTACAAAGTTGCGAAATTCCGTCTCGACGTGTCGTCTTAAGAAGAAAAAATTCCGATTTTTTTGTTATCGTAGGGGATAGCACAGGGATGTATTTTGGGCATAACGTCATTCGCCAATGTCGTTTCTCCACTAATTTTTAGTCCTCTGTCAGGTTAAACTCGACAATTTCATACTTCTCCGTCATGGAAAATATATGCATGTGTATCTTGATCGAATTACTAACGTGTATTTAATTTGTTAATTCTTACAGCTTTATTTCTGTCTGAGAGAGCACCGTTCAATTTCCCAGGTTTCTGTGTACTATGCATTGGATTCGCATATGTAAGATCACCATCTGATTAACAAGCGAAAACTTGACTTTGTTTAAAATTAGTTTTAAATAAACTGCACGATTATTGCTAATTACAAACATATATACACATGTACAGGTGGTAGGTTTGATTCTGAGCGTAGTGATAAATATAAATCCGTTTGTCTCGAGAAGAGACAGAGTGAGCGAAGAAATAAACGTAGAGTATAGACCTTAACCATGGTTTCACATTGTATTTATATTGCATTTTATGAGAGAAATAAATGTGGAAACATTCAACAAATGTGTTATAAATTATATTTTTGTGTATGTATCATCATGTACCTAAGACAAGGTTGCTCTCTTCTTCTTGCTGTTAAACCTCTGTAAATTAATACAGTCGAGACTAGCAAAATTCTATTAATTTAGCGAAATATTAAATTTTCGAACTAATAATTTAGTAGGTTTTTACAGAGTCGGGACCAGAAAAAACTATTATTTAATCGATTTCTTATCGTTTCTACAATGTCTTTAAAATGTTAAAATTCAATTGAGTTGATGCATTTAAAAAATGAATATATCATAAAGTTTGGTACACAATAAAAACAAAAACCAATTAATTTTTTTGTGAAAACAACGTACATTTTCACAAGTCACGTGATATTTACATTTCCAAAATAACAAAATACCACATTATATTCTTTCTTTCTTTTTCTTTTTTCTCAAAAAAATGATGCAAGATGTAAAAGTATTTATCAGCAAACCGAAACTTCATAAGAACAATCGCAGGTTGAGTCCGTTGGCCGTTGATTTAGGGCAATACGCATACCTGATTCCGGGCTCTCTCTCTTGACCAAAGCGGTTGAATCTTTATCACAACACTCAGAATAAAACCAACAAACTTCACAACACAACATAAAACAAATTCCAAAATCAGTAATAGGCAAAATGTTAGATACATCTAAAAAAGAAAATAATAATAATAATAATAATTCTTACCCATGCGAGGCCAACGCACAAAATACTGAAACCCGGGAAATTAAACGGCGACGTGTCGGAAAGAAACCATGCAGAAAGAGGACTATATATTAACGGAGATATAATATTCGCAAACGAAGCTATTCCCATAAGACATCCTTGAGCGATCCCCTGTTCAGACGGCCCTACTTGCTTCGAAATAATGCATCTTATCTGTATAATTATTTTCCAAAATAATTAAATTTTTGTTGTCAGAAATAGTTCTTACAAGAGTATATGATATATATAATTTGTATATCTATTTATAAATGTAACAACTCACACTAGGACTTGCTACGAAAAGGAAGACCCCGAACAGAGCAGAGGCATAAGGTACCCAACCTGCCCATGCTATACTGTCTAATAACATCTGCATAAACAAAAATTCAAAAATAAATAATCATTTCATTAATTCACTATGATATATACCTAAATCGAATTAATTATTCAAAAGATGATTTAGTAATTAAGTGGCGTACATTCAAGAATAAGACACGGCCAGCATCCTGCGCCGACATTCCTCTCCTAGAAGTGGAGCCAGTAAAGGCATTACGACCATCTGCATTTTTTTTAAAACGAAGAATTAAACGAAGAGAAACGAAGAAAGAGTACTAGGTAATTTTTAAGGCATTGGAGGTAGCATACACTTGATATGGTGAATGCAATATTGGTAATAAGCCATATGTCAGCAAATTGATCTTTCTGGAAGTGGAACCGCGCCTTCAAGTAATACTGCATTAAACATAAACAACGTTGTAATTAATGGGGTTTTTTTTTTTTTTAAATCACAAAAATTACACATTGAGAAAAGGAGAGTACTTAGTACTTACCATTAAGAAGCTTTGAACTCCAGCCTCAGCAATGCTATTGAAGAATGCAACAACCGATGCTAGTGATACGGTGGGGCTGTACACATATAAAATAAGAAAGGGTTTGATTTTAATTAAGTTAGCTCGTAATTAAGTTGGAAAAAGATTGAATAGAAAATATCGTTATAATTAGTTACCTGGTCTTGAACAAGCGAATTATATCATGTGCCGATGGGATTTTGTTGACGGGGTGTTTGGGTTTTAATGGATGTTCGTCATTCTCATCTTCACCAATTGATTTCAAGATTGGCTCGTTCAGAGTATCCACTTTTCGATTTCTTTCCTTGAGAAATATCTTCATGTAAACTGCTGCTAAAGCAGCTATTACCGCTGCCACCTGAATCACATATATATATATATATACATATTAACATCAAAAACCAATTTACGATTTGTGTCTAAGAATCTTGAATTTACAGAGGAAAAAAAAAGAAGAAAGTGAGACCTTAAATATTTGATTAGTGGGAAGTAAACGAGCAGTTAATGTACCGCAAACAGTTGCTGCAGCTACCACACCGGACAAGAGTCCAAATGCAGAAACACGCTTTCCCTCCGATACATTGTCAGCCTGCCAAAAACAACATATTTATCATACGGCAATGTATTATTATTATTATGTAAGAAATGCTACATTATAAAAATAATGCAATATTAGAAGAAGAATAATAAAGGGAAGTTACCAAATAACCAAGGGAGAGGCATATGACACCACCTTCGGTAACCACAGCAGTTAAAATCTTCATTACGTAGTATACGTAAAAGAACTCTGTTGTCCTCCTCACTGCCAATATTGCTGCACATATATACAATCTCGTAAACATTCTAAAATTTATATTATTAATGATAATAATAAATTAAAAATTAAAATTACGTACCAGGTGGAAATATGGCGACGATCAAGGGAATTGTGAGCAAAACTTTTCGACCATAGGAATCCGAAAGATTTCCGATCAATGGCATCACAAACACAGACCCTATTCCAGCAATCTGCATCAATTACATGTAACATTAAAAAAATCAATATATTATGTTTTTTCTTTTTCTTTTTTTTTTTTTAATTTGATCAAGTTTTACATTAGAGGTATTAATTACATTCATGGCGCGAATGATTGTATTAGTAATTAGTATAGAAATCTTTCGTTAAGGTATCAATAATTTTTATTATTTTTCAATAGTTTATTAAGTAGGTTGATTAATCATAATCTTATGACAGTAAGATTAAGACCTGGTGTAAACATATTTCTGAATTTTAAAAAAATAAAAAAATTATCAATTAAAAACGAAGGTTGACTATACAATTAATATTCGAATAGAATCTTTTAAAGAAAATCATTGTGATTTGCCCCTTTTTTGACGTATATAATTTTAATTCAGAATATGTGACAAACTCGATCTAGAAGTGTTAACTTGGGTGATTATGACCTTACGGGGCGGAATTAGGAATTTTCATATAGCTAAAAGTAGGATGAACGATATATAGTTATATATATCCAAATTGAAATAATCAAACTGAAAATTCTACATCACCTAACTTTAAGTCTGAATAATCAATTAAATCTCAACAACTCTCCACTTATATATAAGATTAATCAACTTTGAAACCAAAATTGAAGACTTTATTTAACTTTGATTATAATATCACCACTCTAATAGGGTGGAGTAATTAGCAATTTGACATGTTTAACACAAGTCGTCTAAGTAGTTACCAATCTGACCACGTCAGAGGTGTGTCCGAAATTAACATATACCTACCAATCATAATCCTATTATTCTTTATTACCTATATACATTGTCCATTATTATTAATGATAATAATATATAACCTTGTATTTTTGTTTTGGCAAGAAAAGTCAAAATTGGATTCACCGTCAACTCTTTGCATACTAAACAATGCCGACGTTAGAAATAATGTAGAATCAAATCAACAATTTTTTTTTTTTTTTTTTTTTTTTTTTTTTGAGAATCAAATCAAATTAACATTGAAGAAGCTACGAATAATTCTGAAACACGAGTTTTGTTAGAGCAATTAAACAGCGGCAAAATTCACGCGCCACCACAGAACAAATTGAACAGATAAGGATTCGACAAGTGGAGCAACTATACATGCGATTTAATTTGTGTTGTTAAATTCACGCGCCACCACATTCAGCGGCAAAATATTGGTGGATGACATGGCGGTGGTGCGCTTTTTCCATCACGAATTCCAAGTATATACATACATACATTCAAATAATACACACAAACACATACACACACATACCGCCTGTTGGAAGCCAGTGAGATAAATGGCGAGGGAGCATTCATCCTGCCCGGGGCAGACCGCCTCCATAGTGACGTCAGCGATCGTCGGATTAACCAACACCGACGCAAAGTAGGATAGAAATACCATCACAAAAAGGTGTATCAAATCCTTCCAATTCTCCATTCTCTCTCTTCTCTCTCTCTAACAATTACTCAAACACAAACAATCCCCTGTTTTGCCTTTTGTATAATTAACTTATGTTGTGGCAGACACACACACACTGAGGTATATATATATGTGTATGTAATTATTTATGCATCTGAATGTTGATTAATTCAGCAAAATTTATATATATCATCACGTAACCTAACTGCAAGAGGGCTAGCTGCTAATCATTAAAAAAAAAATAAAAGAAAAAGACTTGGGAAAGAAAAGGCCAAGTCTGGTAGGAATTAATTAGTATATATGATGATACTGTTTAAGATGATTGACCCTGATTACATACATACACTGTGGGTGTGGTGGTACCAAAAAAATAAATTGGGGGGATTAATTAGTAAATTACTGAGCTCAAAATAGGAGGAGAAGGGGTTTCATGGGGGTCCATGTTTTATTATTTAGCCCCCTAATTTTAATATAAGAACAAGTTGTTGTTGATAGCGATATTGAGAGAGTAGTGTAGGACATGTATGTATGGCATACATTTCTGACTTTTACTGATTCTACTTTCTTCATAACAGAATTTCTTTTTTGTTTCCCAGCACTCCTTTGTACCCCCTACATTATTGGACAAATCACAGCTATGTAATTACAATTATACCCTCTTTATTCTGACAATTTACATTTGATATTATTTTTTTCAGATTATATTTTCACCTTAACCAAATATGGAGAAATTATACTATTCTCCCCTGATATATGTTAGATACAAATACGTATAGACCCCTTTTCTTTTAAAACTTATTCAAATTTACTTTCTTTTTACTAAACTAAAATATTTTTTAATAATGTTGGCAAAGAATTCTACCTTTTTTCTTTTGTGTAAATAAAATAATATTTATTAATATTGTAAAAGGAAATCCCGAAGTGATGTGAATATTGATTTCCAAAAGCTTTTCAAACATATATTCATTATTTACCAGTTATTTCTTCTAGTGAACATGATTATTTTTCTAACAATTCAAATTGAGCGAGCTCGAATTCCAAAATAGATGGATATTATCGAGGCGTTGTTTAATTTTATTTATTTATTTATTTTTAATTTTTTCATGATATTTTAGCCAGAAACCAAAACTTTGTTATATGGAAAAATACATTGGAAATATTCTGTTTTGCAGTACACTAACAAAATACACACATAATTAAGTTCCCAAACCTTCAATAAAATAAATATATAACCATACTTTTCTAGTGTAAACGAATACAAATGTTAGTAGACAGCCACATACATATACCATACCATATATACATTTTTATATAAATAAATAATAACAAGCATATTCCACTGCACTCCACAAAGCAAGCCCTCGAAAAGCCTTCGAAAAATGATACAAGTCTCGTTTTTTTTCCTTCTTTTTAAAAGCAAAAACGAAACTTTAGGCCGTGAAAACGAGGTGTTTTTCTTTATTTGCTCTGTCTTTTTCTCCATATGATTTCTCAAGCCAACAAGCATGGCTCACTACTCGCTCTGTCTCTCGACGACCAAAGCGGTTGAATCTTTATCATAGTACCAACAATAAAAGCCGCAAACTGCAAAACAAAAATCAGCAAAAAAAAAATAATCAGAAATAAAATAAAAAATTGTAGACTCTTGAAAAAAAAAAAAGCAAAAAATAATGAATTTCTTACCCATGCAAGTCCGACGCATAGTATACTGAAACCGGGAAATTTGAAGGGGGCAGTGTCGGAAAGAAACAATGCGGAAAGAGGACTATATATCAACGGGGATATAATATTCGCAAACGAAGCTATTCCCATAAGACAACCTTGAGCAATCCCTTGTTCACATGGTCCAACTTGCTTTGAAATAATTGATCTTATCTGTATAATTAATTTCCAAAATTATCAGAAATAGCTCTTAATATAGTACAATATATGATAATTGGTAATTAATTTGTATATAATATATATGTAATAACTCACACTAGGGCTTGCTAGGAAAAGGAAGACTCCAAGCGTAGCAGAGGCATAAGGTACCCATGGTGCCCATGCTATGCTGTCTAATAACATCTGCATAAACAAAATTTCAGAAATAAATTAAATTAATCGTTTCATTAATTACTATGATATATACGTAAATCGAATTAATTATTGAAAAGATGATTTAGTAATTAAGTGGTCGTACATTCAAGAATCCAGCGAAAAGTCCAATGCAAAGAAGTGTTTCCTCTCCTAGAAGTGGAGCTAGTATAGGCATTAAGACCATCTGCACGCGCGTAATTTGGTAAACTTAATTAGTTATAACTCATAATTTTACGAGGAATTAAACGAAGATAATTAATAAGGTGTTCGAGCATGCATACACTTGATAGGGTGGATGCAATGTTGGTAATAAGCCATATATCAGCAAATTGATCTTTCTGGAAATGGAAACGTGCCTTCAAGTAATACTGCAGTTAAACGAAAAGAAAAAATACGTTAGGATAATTTATTTTATATGCACAAATTATATATAATGAATTAATTAAAGAGAGTAATTTAAGTTAATTATACCATTAAGAAAGCTTGAACTCCTGCCTCGGCAAGGCTGTTGAAGAAGGCGACAAACGATGCTAGTGATACTGTCTTGCTGCAATGTCGATGGATAAACGAAGTTAGACATTTTTTTTATGTAATTCGATTTTCGAAAAACGAAAAATAAAATTAAAAATGAAGTACGTACTTAGTCTTGAGCAAGTTAATTATATCTTTTGGTAATGGCATTTTCTTGAATAAATCTGCGGGCTTCAATATTATTTTATCCTGATTAGTAGTACTGGTTTCGGTAACCGATTTCAAGATTGGCTCTTCGAGAGGTTCGACGGCGGCGTTTCGAATTGTTTCTTTAAGAAATATTTTCATGTAGATTGCTGCAATAAAAGCGACAACCGCCGCCACCTGAAATATCTGAGTTGTGGGAAGCAATCGAGCAACGAATGTACCGCAAACAGTTGCTGCAGCTACAACACCAGACAAGAGTCCAAATGCTGAAACACGCTTTCCCTCCGACACATTGTCAGCCTGCCCAAAAACAAAAGAAAAAAAATTAAAAAACGTGTTTCTGAAGTGCGACTTTTAAATAGAAAAACAATAATAATTAGTTAAGGGAGTTAAATTTTCCTAAAAAAAAAAAAGTTAAGGGAGTTAAATTATTACCAAATAACTGAGGGAGAGGCAAATGATACCACCTTCGGTAACCATGGAAGTCAACGTTTTCAAAGCATAGTAAGCATAAAAGAACTCTGTCGTTCTTTTCACTGCCAATATTACTGCAAATTCAAGCAAACATTTATTATTTTTTATTAATTCACACTCACTAAATTAATTAATTAATTAATTAAAAAATTAAATAAATACATAATTAATTAAGTAACTATTACCAAGTGGAAAGATGGAAAGTGTTAAGGGAATTGTGAGCAAAACTTTTCGACCATAGACATCAGAAAGAGTACCAATCACTGGCATCATAACCACAGCCCCTATTCCAGCAATCTGCGTTTATTTAATTTAAATGTTAATAAATTAAATATTTAAAATAAAATTAAAAACAATTTAAAAAAAATATGTTTTAATTAATAAATTGAACTTTTTTGAGGTACTTATATGATAGGTAAAAAGAAAAGTGATGCACGTTGGTGAATATTTTATATGATGTGGATTAGGTAGGGATTATTAATAATATTCAAACATTATTAATATTATTTTTAGTTTTTTTTAAGATATATAGAGACATGGTAAGCATAACAAAAGAAGTAAACAATAATAATTGGATGCCACCTACTAATCATTAACCAGGAGAATTAAATTAATGTTAAGTATTATATGTTAATGGTGATTAATTCATTATTAAGGTGATCGATTAGCTAAAAGTAGGTTGAAGGCACATATCAGCATGACATCACTTTATCAATTCCGTCTCAACAACAACGTAACAACCACCTCCACTTATAATAAATTACTAGGTACTAATTAAGAAAACAAATAATTAAGGAAAAAGTTGTGCTTATAGATAATCCACTATTATTAAGTACTTTATGTAGTAACTTTTGAATTAATAATGATTATTAAGGTAGACAAATATGTGCAATTTTCACATGTTTACGTAAGTCGGCTGATTGATTTAGTTCGGAGTTGACAACGTCAAACGTGTCTAAAATTTAAGGCACCCACCTATCATGACTTTCTCCCATTATCCATATTTATTCACCTTTTCTCTTTTTCTTTTTTCTTTTTTTTTTCCTTTATTTTTTTCTTTGGAGGGAAAAAAGATTATAGAAGATTAGGTAAAATTATTTGTAAATTGGACCTCATTAGTGAGTTTTATATATGAAATTGTATTTAATCACAAAAATTGCAAATGTATTCGTAATATGCTAATTGACGATTTCTATCTAATAAAATATTAAAAAGGAGTTTCGAATTAAAATCAAATAATACTCTTACCTAAGCCCATGGAACTAATTAACTAGGTCATATATCCATCTCAAAGAACAATAATAATAATAATTTGTATTGAATTAAATAAGAAATAATGAAAAGTTTGATCGAGTAAACGAGAATGGTGTTTCGGGCAATCCGCCGTGACGTGAAAAATAGAGCTAATTATATGTTGTAAATAAGTGCATGCACCGCCGCCAAAGAATATTATATATAAATTGGCGTTTCCGGTGGTGGTTTCCGGTGGCGGTTGTGATGTTTAATTAATTAATGACATGAAATAGAAATAGAAATATACATACCGCCTGCTGAAAGCCAGTGAGGTAAATAGCGAGGGAGCATTCATCTTGGCCGGGGCAGACAGCCTCCATAGTGACGTCAGCTATGGTCGGATTAACCAACAAAGAAGCAAAGTATGACAGAAATACTGTCACAAATATGTGTATCAAATTCCTCCAGTTATCCATTTTCTCTCTCTAGCTTGATCGATATATATATCACCCAATTAAATTAAATTCTCTCTCTAAAGGGAAATAGCTAGAGAAGAATTGAAGAAGGAAGTAGTAGTAGTAGTAGTGGTGGGTATGAATGAAGAGCTTGTTAGAAAAAGGCAAGCCTGATTGTCTATATATATATATATATATATAATGCTGCTGCTGATTCTTTCACCACTTTCTTTTCCCACGCGCGTAAGTGAGAAGCTGCTCTTCTTTTTCCTTTTCTTTCTTTTTATTTTAAATCAATTAAAAATAAATAAAAGATAATAATAATGCCAAGTCTTTGCTAATAACTATAAGGAAGACTGGCTACAATAGTTGACCGTTATGTTCCGTTTGGTCCTCTAACAAAATTACTGTTTCTGGGGTTGGTGAGCTGATTTTTTAGGCCTTCTTCGAATTTGGGCTGGGCCCCCCTTCCCCTTCCCCTTTTTTTTTTTTTTATTTATTATTTTACTACTTTTATTAATGTCAACTTGTTCTCGATTTCTATATATATATATTATATTATATACATACAACAAGGGTTGATTTTACCGATTTACTCCTTGTTCGGTAATTACATAAATTGGATTAATTTGGACTAAACTATTTTTTTCAATCGCCTAATTAATTAGTGAGTTAATAAAATTGTTAAAATATATAATCTTGTATGAAATATAAATTATTTTCTGTAAGATCCCTAATTAATTTGATAAAACTATATATTAAAATTTGTAGCATTAAGGGATATATTTTTTTTTGGTAACTAGTTATAAAATTAATTACAATTTGGTAGCGTACCTACTAATTATTTAGTTGATGATTTCAACTTTCATTGCTGAGTTTGAGTTAGGAATTTCAATAAAACAAATTCCAATATTTGGGTTTGAAATTTAAATATTTTGTTTATTTGATGAAGAAAGTTCGGAGTTGCGTTGATCAAGAGAAGTTCTAAATTATTCCAAGTGTAATTAGTGGCATATCAACTAAATATTTAACTAATTACGTTCTTGTATGCATTTCAATTACACATGCGCATTCTGGTGAATGTAATGTGTAAGCTGGTTTTGACTTAATCCACCCATAATTTTTTAATTAGTTCAACTAATTGCTGGCAATGGAATTTGTTTTATTGAAATTCAATTTTTTTCTTAAAAAGATGTTTATTTCTAGGTCGATAGAACTTTTTAAAAGAAAAATGAAAACTTAAATTAATATATCTATCTTTACACTACACATCCCACAACTGATGATTGAAAAATAGTAATAGTGCGTCGTCGTTTTAAATATTTATTTTGAAATAAAGACACAACAGACAGATCAATGTGGATATACTCAGTGTGGGGTTAGTACAGTCAAAAGGAGGGTATATTATGTCATTTACCATTTAGCTCTCCAAACAGATTTAGTCAACAGTCAATGGGTTTCTCTTTTTTTATTATTTTATTTTTTTTATTTTCCAACAATTATTTATTAAATAACCGATTGTAATTTGTATGGTGTGTGAAAATTCCAAGTAAAACAAATTAGGAAGAAATGTTTATGGTAAACAAAATACATCTTCAAGAAATGGCCAGTTGCCAGATATTAACAAATTAAATAAATTTCTCCAAAAATTAGGTAAGACAAAGAATTAGCCAACTAAAACAACGTACGTGTTTGTAATTACTAATTAGTCGTAAGACTAATTAGTTTTACTTTGTCTCACCAAATAAATATCCAGCTGTACATATATTTATTTATTATTGTATAATTATCTCGATGCTCATGCAACCACTAGCACAGTTAAATTAAGTTGATTGTAAATTGAAGCAAAAGAAAAAAAATAAACAAAAAATATTATTAGTGGGACTAAATCAACTCTTGAGTTCTGCCAATGAACCCTAATTGCATTAAATTTGAAGCTCAATTTGAAATTATCAAATTTGGTATGACTGGACTGAAATTCTTGACGCGTAATTATTTAATTATTGTACGTCATTTATTTTTGGTTTGACTACGACCAGCCCACTATGTCAGCCCAACAAAAAAATGTGGACTTTCTTCATCTGGTTATTTTTTCTTTTCTTTTTTCTTTTCTTTTCTTTTTTTCAATAAAATAAATAATAACTTTTGTTTTTTTACTCTAAAGTCTAAAGAGGAGGAGAGTAACAGTAGTCACTGGTCATTTGAACTAATTAACATGTACCTGTAATTAAACCAAGCTAAATAACATGTGACTAATTACCTAACTACTCACCATTCCACCAATTAATATTACTTAATTAAAATATTTTGTGAATTTGGATAAAGTGTGGCTAGATAATGCCTTTAATTAAGAAAATGATATTATTTTTAGTTATCTCTTTTTTGTTTATTAGTATCCATATTAATTTTCTTTTCTTGGGTTTTAAAGACTTGAAGCACCAACCCTTTTTATTAATCTTTAATGAATAATGATTGACAATGTGTGACATCATTTATTTTTATTATTATTATTATTATTATTATTATTATTGTTATTATTTATTTTCTAATTTTTTTATTATTAATTTGTGAAGTAAAATAAGAGAGTTGTTGGGTGCACGGAAACAATTAGAATCTTAGCAAAAACAATATATAATACTATGTTCTTGGTCTATATTTAAGAATAAATTAATTTAATTAATGTGGAGTTGCAATAGTTAATACATATATATAAACCAAACTTTGTGTTAAACCACTTATATTTCGTAAGCAATTAATGATTATATTCGTGGGTAGAACATTGGGTTCATTGACAAGAGATGTCAATAATTGAAATGTCTTTGTTCCAATGTTTCTTCTAACTACTATTTTAAAATCCAAATATTTATTTTCTACAATTTTGTTGAACCGTGGACGTTTTCTTTGTCTGAAGGAATATTTCAAATTTATGTAATATAATAGTAATATTATATTAATTTCACAATTTGATGGTGTTAAACTAATTAATCGTCTTTGAGAATTATTTTTGTCTTAACATTTTTATTAATGGGCTGACACGTCCGATACGCACGCTTGAATAAAAATATATATTAAAAATTGGAAATAGATTAGTAAAATAATAAAAAGAAAAACACTCAACTATTTGTTTGTTTCTTGACACCTCAATTATTCTCAGCCTTTATTTATAGATTTCTTTTTTTTTTATTTAATTTAGTTAGGTTTTGGGACCATGATTATACTAATACAAACAAATGTTCTTTTGAGGTTCGAAGAGAAACTCTGATGATATTTATCCAAATGTAGATGCAAATACGTATTCCTTGATTATAAAAAATGTTGTTATTATATAAAAAAAAAACATTTGATATTATTTGTCAGAAATAATTTGTGTCAGCTAGTCTGGTCATAAAACTAATGTTAAATAATACACTAAATATTTAAATTATTTAGTTAATGATACATAATCCGTAATTTTCTGTGGTGAAACAAAATATCTCTCGTTTCTCCTTAAATAGATTGTTTTTTTTTCCCAGAGGGCTCTTCTTATGTTGTTTTGAAGGGGACACTAATCCTTTCAATCCGGTACCAACGGGGATAGTAAACTCAAACTCAACTCGTACGCGCGAAAATAAGAGGTCATATTTTCATAAAATTTCATGTTAGTTCAAAACATTATTGTATCAAAATACAAATGCGACTTTAGTACAAACGGAAAAGAAAAGGGTATTAACGAATAATATTAAAGACACCAAAATTGAAGTCTAAGCCCAAGGAAATATATATTATATGTATTATAATAAGAGTATATATATTTTACAAATTAAATTTTATAATCGAAATTAAGAATATACAAGGAATATTGAGATAATCAAAGATAAAAGCAGGTCCACTCAATATTATTTAGTTCAGTCCCTTTCATTCTCAAAATTATTTACGAGACTGATACTGACCTGCTAACGTGTAAAGTGGGGACTCCTTTGTAATTCTACAAATTTCTTTTTTGTACCCCTCAAAGGACTTGTTCGTAATTAACTATTTTCGTTCGAAATATCTTGCGCTTGGCACGTGGTCAAAAATCGGATAATAACACTACTGCAATCAGGTTTAATTCAAGGGATAATTTGACAAAACTCCCTCATTACACAAGTATCATTACAATAAGTCCAATTTTATTTTACATTTTCAAGATAAATCCAAAATAATTTTGTTTAATTAAAAACACTTAATTATCACCATTATACCCCTAATTAAGAAAAAAAAAGTATATTTAATTCTGATATTAAAAGATATATAATATTTTTTTCCATCAAGGGATCCTAATAATTAGGGAATTAGTTAGCTATTTAATGACCATATTATCTCTATCCTATCTAATAACCTCCATTTTAATCGGCAAACTCAAGATTTAACACCAACCCACATGGGAATCACAAAAACGAAGCAAATAAAGAAGAACCCTTTAATCTCTTTTAGGGGTGTTATTGTTTGTTTAGCAACCGACAATGACCTCTTATTTTCTCACTCTCTACGTGTTTTTTCTCTCATTTTTCTCCGTTGGGAGCTTCAAAAAATCCAATATAATTGCAGAGATATAATACATGTTTGTGTTTTTATTCAGATTTTTTTATTTTATTTTAATGATTGTTGGTCATGGGAATTTGTAATTATACGGAGTGATTTTCATGTTACGTAGTTGTTATACATAGTGGTTTTCATGTTGTAGTTGTTATATAGAGTGGTTTTCGTGTATATATAATTGTTTATACAAAGTGGTTTTTATGTTGACATAGTTGTTATACAGAGTGGTTTTCAAGTTTACATAGTTGTTATGCAGAGTGGTTTTCATGTTACATAGTTATTATACAGAGTGGTTTTCATGTTCATATAGTTGTTTTATACAGAGTGGTTTTCATGTTTATAAAGACTGGTTTTTATGTAAAAAAAAATGGAAAGAAAATAAAAAAAACATTTTTTTTTAAAATCGAACTTAAGAAAAAAAAACCATGAAAAAACGAAAAATAAAAATAAAATCATTTTTTAAAATTAAAATAAAAAAATATGAAAAATATAAATAAGGAAAAAATAATTTAAAATAAAAAACCAAAACGGAAAGGGTGTGACAGGGAGATAATTGGGGGATTGTGTAGGGAGAAAATAGGGGGATTTGCATAACTACCAAAAAAATAATGAATTTTTTAAAATAATATAATATGGTAAATTTTAGTAATATTAATTAGGGACATTTTGGATGATTCCACACATTTGGATTTATAACAAATATCAATTGAAAAGATGGATTTATCAAGAAGTCAAAATTGAATGAGGGGTGTTTGTCATATAACCCCTTAATTCAATTACAATAATTATATTTTAAAAAAAAATCAAGATAGAATTAGCCTAGATAATGTTATACTATAATTCAATACAAAAATTGAATTGGGAAATATCGAATACAAATGTGACTTATTTTATAGACCAAACAAAAAAGTACAAGGTTATCAGTTTTTGTATGCTAAACTTGTTGAAAGTTGCGTTGAGTGAATTTTTTTCACCGTTAATCTACACATACTAATGTGTACGTGTGTTTGAATGATAAAGATATGCCCAATTTATTTCATCCGGTGTAGAATATTATAAACCGTTAATTTATTTTTAAGCCCCTAATAAAAATAATTGGGGAAGAACCTAAGCATAGATAAAACTAATTGATTTATTTATACCTCCACGCTTATGTGGGTAATTTTCCTCCTTTTTGATAATATGGGAATCATTATACTCAGAAAGAATCCTGCCAGCTGCACCCAAAAAATAGAAAGAAAAAATAAATAAATCTACACATATTTTATAGAGGAAGAAATAAGTAAGAAGAGATGGTACTACTAACTAAGTACTTACCCAAGCAAGTCCAACACATAGGATACTAAAACCTTTGAAATCAAATGGAGCATCCTCAGACAAAAACAAAGCTGATGAGGAAAGAAGAAGCCACAAAGGTTTAAGTAATAGTTCTTTCTAACATGCAATTCATAACTTTTACTTTTCATCACAACGAAATTTTACGATACCTGAAAGAGGGCTGTACATCAATGGAGATATGACATTTGCGAAAGCCGTTATACCCAAGATGCTTCCTTGAGCAAGTCCCTAATAATAATAATAATAATAATAATAATAATAATAATAATAATTAATGTTGTTGATGTTAACATATGTTCTATGACCAAAATAAATGTGTTTTCATTATGAATCAATATTATCGTCTACTTGTAGAATCAACTTCATTTGATCTGCATAACATGAAATAAGGAAATTACCTGTTCATTGGGCCCAACTTGCTTTGATATAATGCTTCTTAACTGGAGAGGGGAAAAAGAAAAGACATGTCAGCATCATAACTGTAACCGAAGTAGCCGAAAAGAAGAAAAGTTAATATTGAACGTTGATTGTTTTGAACTCACATTTGGGGCTGACAAGAAAAGAAAAAGACCCATAGAAGCAGAAGCATATGGTACCTAAAGATTGAATCAGGAGCTGTAAAATAATATCTAACATGTAAACACTACAAGAGAATAGACTTCTTGCCGTTGGCACAACAAATTTAAGATACTCAAGCACAAAGCTAAACAAGACTCCATATAGTAGTAGAACTTCAAGAGAACGACATATCAGAGTGAGAGAGCAAAAGTTTAATGGAATATCGTACCCACGGAGCCCATGCTATACTGTCGAAAAACATCTGCACAAAACCAGATTACAAATGTTCAATATGTGTATATATAAGAAAGTTTATATATTCATATGTATATATACAAGAAAGTTCGAATTGGTGCAAAGGGGAATACATTTAAGAATCCAGCAAACAATCCTAAAGACAACAATGTTTCCTCCCCAATACGAGGACCTAAAGTAGGCATGAAGAGCATCTGCAAAGTTGTTAGGTTGTTAAGTTTAGTAGGTCAAAATTGTTGAACCTTAAACCAGAAATAAAGGATTGAAATGGAAAATAATAAGCGCGGAAGAAGATACATTGGATATAGTTGCTCCAATATAGGCAATGAGCAAAACATCTGCAAACTGGTCTTTCATGAAGCCGAATCGGGCCTTTAAGAAGTACTGCAGAAGATAGATTATATATCACCACTTTGAACAATTGTGTGCTGCATATGACAAACTTATTCACTAAAAATCACAAGCAAAGAAAGGGAAGATACCAATAAGCAAGTTTGAAGTCCAGCCTCTGCAAGGCTATTGAAGAAAGCAACAAATGCTGCTAATGAGAATGTAATGCTGCAACAAGAAGATTACAAGTGGAATTCCTGTCAGTTCGTTCGACAAGAATAAAATGAAACATATCAACACATTTATGAAAAAGAAAAAAAAATCTTAAGATGTACAAAAATTTAAAGCCTTGTCTCTCTCGTATTGTTTTAATGGACATGCTGTTTGATGAAGTGACACCCATTATGCAGGCCAAAATACTCAGCATATATATATACCAAGTTTTTACAGAAGGCGATACCAAGATAATTAGATGTGGTTTCCGACTTAAGTTCAGTAACTATCGGTTAAGTTCTCAAATATGTTAATAAATTTTGTCAATCCTAAAAGCTTGATTGTCCTACCTACTCTTTAGCAAACGAAATATATCCCGAGGAGATGGAATTTTCTTAATGTCTATCTTCTTTAATGCTTTAGAACTTCCATCATCGCTTTCTGTCACCTCCAAGATAGGCTGCTTCAAAGCGTCGGTTCCACGAGTTGTTTCCTTTAGAAAAACTCCCATGTATATAGCTGCAAGAATAGATATGGTTGCTGCTACCTGAAAGAATTGTTTTACTAGCTTATAAAGCATCAACCTGATTAAGTTTGCTTTAGCTGAAGAGTAAATAGTACCCTAACAGAAAATTACCCTGTTCTATAATAAACAAAAACAGGAAGATGAACTAATTGAAAATTAAATACCTGAAATATCTGAGTGGTGGAGAGTAGGCGGGCAGCTAATGTACCACCCACATATGCAGCAGCTGATACACCTTGCAGGACCCCAAATGCGGAGACACGTTTGCCCTCCTTTACATTGTCTGCCTACGAACATACCAAGTAATCAATTTCGTAAAATAATTAAAAACTGGAGAAGTGACTAGACAGAGAGGATTAATGCTTTAAACGAGTGGTCCTACCATATCAAGTCAAAATTATACCAGCAGAGTAATATGTATGTTATTAGGTTCTTTGACCGATGTCTTTTTTCTCCAAGAAATAATTTCATAAATTTGCCAAGTCATACCCATACTCGCAAACGAAATGGGAAAATTAATTTAAACATGATGGGTTGTGAATGTCGAAGTAGAGAATGAAAAGGGAATGAAGTTTGAATTACCAAATAGCCAAGAGCAAGGCATGTGACACCACTTTGAGTAATCATGGCAGTTAATGTCTTGAGGATGTAATATGCATAGAAGAAGTTTGTTGTCCTCTTCCATGCCAATACAACTGCAGGATATGAATGAAGTTAAATACTGCTCTCTCGATACCATTTTTATACATCTATTTTGACTTCACACGATGTTTTAGATAACTGTGGAAGAAGTTCTTCCCTGCATAAGCATACCTAAAGGAATAAATGTAAGAACCAATGGGACCGATAACAAAGCTTTCCGACCATAAACGTCAGATAGATTTCCAATCAGTGGCATCATGATCACAGAACCTACCCCAGCAATCTGCATTTAAAAAAAAAAAAAAACGAGAAAATTCCTAAATCAATCGAGCATTAATTACTTCTATCCTTTTAGTGTTGAACTCATACATAGTTATTCCAATTAGGGATGAATACTTCACTTTCTATATATGTTTGAAACATAAGAAGGGATCTTATTAGTTAGTAAACAAGGCCTGGAGAATCCATAGGGATTGGGTCCCCTCCAAGGTTTGCAAATAAGCTTAAAAAAGCTCTAAAAAAGCTAATGTGTGACTGTATCTACCATATGTACACCACTTTCCAGCCATAAATGGACTGAATAATAATTATCCGTATTTTGCCCTTTCTGAAATCAACAATTTGGTCAAGTATTACAGATCGATCATAAATGAAGTAAAAAACAAATACCTAAAATAAATCCAAGCTCTAAATAAAAAACATACAGAAAGGCGGTACATACCGCCTGCTGGAAGCCGGTGAGGTAAATGGCGGCAGAGCACTCGTCTTTGCCAGGACACACCGCCGCCAATGTGACATCGGGAATGGCCGGGCTCACCATTAACTCGGCGAAGTTCGCTAGAAACACCGTGACGAACAGGTGGCTCAGCCTCCCCCAATTCTCCATTATTAATTTTTTTGTCACTCACTCACTCGCTCAGTCTCAAGTCAGTCGCCACTCTTTCTGGATCGACGGCCAATATTTAATTTGGTATGCGTCTGTCTGTATTTAACACGTTTAAAATTTGAAGATTGAAGAAAGTACTGGGAGAGTTGCATCTATATATGACTGGTAGATGGGTAGAAAATAAATTTAAAAAAAAAATTATATAAAATTAGTAGATTCTTTCAATTAATGTCACTACTCACTACCATGAGACATGAGCCATAACTCTAGTTTGAAATGCATTCTCACCTAGCAAAATGTGAAAAACCCATACAAATTTGTTAGCTTGTATGATATTAGGTTAAATTACGAAAATCCTCCCAACTTATCATAAATTCCCCCAAGTAATAGAATGGAATTGGGAAAGGGACGTGCTTTGAATACAGTTAGCACTCTTGTATGCATGCATGTCCACCTATTCCACCTAACCTTACCCCAACATCTATATTTCTTAATCACATAAATAGTAATAATAAAGTTAAGGGTAAATTACGGGTGGGTCGCCACTGAGGTAAGTTCTAATTACTAGAAAAATTTCTCATGTTTTGGTAATTTCAACCAATTTCAACTATGAATCTTCTTAAGACGTCCACCGTTGCGGTGTCAAATTTAGTGCAATCTTCTAGTTACATGTAAGAAAATTCAAAGTTGATGATTAACTATAATTACTCAAACATGAAGGGTTTTTTTTTCGGTAATTTGACATCACCTCAAAAGTGTTTGTAATTTACTCTAATAATAATAATATTGATGATGCTAGGGATAGATCACTATCTCCTTAAGTAGTTGAAGTATGAAAAGCTGGAAGATCAAAGTTGATCACGAGTTTGATGACCTTGAGATACATGCGAACAAAATACACGTAAACTAGGCCGGAGCGAAAGTCGTAGAGAGAATACGAACAGTTGTATGGTTCGAATATTGAACGTACCTTAACAAATGAATTGTAATCTTTATTTATACCGAATTGGTTGGGCTGAAGTTACTTGATTGTAATTGTCGGACTCAAACCTTATTTGAATGTAATTGGGCTTTACTTGTAGTAGTTTTCAATTTTGGGCTCGTGGCTCAGAGGGTTGGAAGTACATAAAGTTGATTTGCAGATCCGAATCCGATATTTGAGTATGACTTAAAATGGGTTGGAACATAAAGTTGATTAAATATAATCTTATTGGGCCAACATCATATCCTACGGCCCATACAACACCAAAATAAATATGTAAAGAAAAAAAAAATAGATACGGATGAATAACGTGATTGTAGGTCCATACCATACCATTACCATAGCCCCGTGCAAACGGCGTTTGAGTTCCGTTTCTTTATTCAACAAAGCAAAACGACACACATTTAAAACAAAGATCCCCCCTCCCCCCACCAACCTATTTATATTTAATTCAGAAATATCTCAATTAATTACCCACTACGAAACATTTTAGCAGTAGGTCTCAACAGGGCCACCCCCTAAGCATGCCACAAAAGGTTACTAATTTATTTTCTATTTTTTGATTAATTAGAATTATGCTGTGCATTTAATTGCATATCTTAATTTCAATAACAAATTTAACTACAACACAAATTTTATCAACCAAACCTTTTATTAACTCGCTCGTATTATTTAATATATTAAAAAAGTAAATAAATAATTGAGAGAAGTTCGATTCAGAATGATCTGTTTTAGCAATAATATATCGATTTGCAGCTCCAGTTGTTGTTTTTCATTTTGTACTTAATTTAAACTTAAAAATAATAAAATATAAAACTTTTGTTAATAATAATAAGAGATCCCATCCCATGGTGATTAGCATATTATTAATCACCCACAGATCTCCAATTGCGCTACGGAAGTGACGTGTCGCAACGTGATTGGTGGTAGTAAGGCCAGGCCCACAGAATATCAAAATCCCACCACCATAAATCTCTGAAACGCCCCCATTCACTCCCCCCCACTACTCTTTTTTCACTACCTAGTCTTCTTCTTCTTCTGTTCAACAATGGATTCTCTCACTCTCTTTTGTACCGCCTCTCTCGTAGCCGGCGGCTTGTACTGGTTCATCTGCATTCTCGGCTCAGCCGAGCGCAAGGGCAAGCGCGCCGTCAACCTCTCCGGCGGCTCAATCGCCAAGGAAAATGTCCAGGACAAGTACGAACAGTACTGGACTTTCTTCCGCCGCCCCAAGGAAATCGAGACGGCGGAGAAAGTGCCGGCCTTCGTCGACACCTTCTACAATCTCGTCACCGACATCTACGAGTGGGGCTGGGGCCAATCGTTCCATTTCTCCCCCGCCATCCCCGGAAAATCGCACCGTGACGCCACGCGCCTCCACGAGGAGATGGCAGTGGATCTACTCAACGTGAAGCCAGGATCCAGAATTCTCGACGCCGGCTGCGGAGTCGGCGGCCCGATGCGCGCAATCGCCGCCCATTCCGGCGCTAACGTAGTCGGGATCACCATTAACGAGTACCAGGTGAAACGGGCCCGATTACACAACAAGAAGGCCGGGCTCGAGAAACAGTGCGAGGTCGTGTGCGGAAACTTCCTAGAAATGCCGTTCGAGGACAACAGCTTCGACGGCGCGTACTCAATTGAAGCGACATGCCACGCGCCGAAGCTGGAGGAGGTGTACAGCGAGATCTACAGGGTTATGAAGCCCGGATCCCTATACGTATCATACGAGTGGGTGACAACGGAGCTGTACCGCGGGGAAGACGCGGAACACGTGGAGGTGATCCAGGGGATCGAGAGGGGAGACGCGCTGCCGGGGCTCCGCCACTACACCGACATAGCGGAGGTGGCTAAAAAGGTAGGGTTTGAGGTTGTACAGGAGAAGGACTTGGCTAAACCCCCATCCAACCCGTGGTGGACCCGGCTCAAGATGGGCCGATTCGCCTACTGGAGGAACCACGTTATGATAACGGTGCTCGCGTGGGTGGGAATCGCGCCCAAGGGCGTGGTGGACGTGCACGAGATGCTATTCGTGACGGCGGATTACCTGACCAGGGGAGGAGAGACCGGGATTTTCACTCCGATGCACATGATTCTCTGCAGAAAGCCCGAGTAAGTTTTGCTTTTTCCGGTTCGGTTTTTTTTTTTTTTTTTTTTTTTTGAATGTAATGTACACGGAGATTGACCCCCCACCCACCCACCATTGGAGGGAGGTCGATTTTTGTGGTCTGTCCGTCTGTCATCACTATTTCTTCTGCTTTTTAGCTTCCTTTGGTTATTATTGGGATTTTTTTTTTGTTTTAATTAATTTAACAGCTTTTAATTTAATTTTTATTTTGTTGGTGGGGTTCTTAGATTCATTTATGCATTGTACTTTTAGAAAATCAGAACTGCTGTGTTTTAATTTAATTGAATTGAATTGTCAATCCTGGCCGTAACTAATTGTTTGATTGTAATTGAAAGCATTTCTCAATTTTATTGTATTTTGAATGATTGTGGTAGAGATATAAATGTTTTGAGAGAGGTCTTGGAATGTGATAATTGTTCAAAGGTAGTACTAGTAGTTGTTTGAGTGGGGTTTTAATACAGAAAGGCAAATAATAATATGAGGTGTGAGTGAGTGAGGGTATGGTGGCAACATGTGTGTGTGTATTCGAGATGTAATAAGCAAATTGAAGGACATTGCACATGATGTGATTAGCTGTATCAGTATGTATGACATATTATAGTATCAATCATATTATTCTATAATAAATAAAAAATGTCATCTTTCTTTCTTTCTTTATTTCCCTCTTGCAACACTACAGTTTAGTTTGTCTGTAGATTTTATTTACTCAAGTCAATCAATACACACAAGTGCTATATGACAGTTAGCAGATTCAAGAAAAATCATAGAATAATAGAAAAAAAGACACTTGAATTTTTGCAACTAATTTACTAGTGTTCCTGCTGTTTAATTGCTATTGTTTATTGCAAAATTTGATTATAATATTTGGTGAAGAGAGATCCAATCCAGTAAACATGTGTTACAGTTGTACTAGTACTAGTACTAGTTTGTGTGGTGTGGTGTGGTGTGGTGTGGTTGAATAATTAAATTGTCTGAGCAGAACAGATCTCTCTCTCTCTCTCTCTCTCTCTCTCTCTCTCTCTCTCTATATATATATATATAAAGTTTGCACCATTTGTTTTAAAGCTTATATCTTTACAATCTTTTTGCAGTATGGATTTATTAGTCACAAACCATATTTGGGATGAGAAAATAATCTTAAATTAGTGTATACAGATAGATAGATATTAAGGTAAGTTGAATGTAAAAATGAAAGAATAAAGAGGTGGGAGAATGAATCTAGATGATGATGGGATCTGGATATTAATAAAAAGGTAAGAAGAGAAGAGGGGACAGGGTGGCCTCGTGGGGAACGGCATCACACCTGTCATCATTCTGCTCTCTTTGTCTGTCTGTCATGTGCTTGCCTTTTGTTTTTTCTAACATCCTTTTTTCAACACTTTTATTTTATATTATTTTATTTTATTTTATTTTGGGATCTGAACTTGACTCCAAGACTGAGTTCGTGAGTGAGTGCTCACGAGATATACACATATATTTAATCTTTTCTTTTCTTATTATTTATTTAACCTTCTTAGATACATTATGGTTGCATTTTTTTTTTTGAATTACTTTCCTGATATTTTATTCAAATATGTGTGTGGCGTATTTTGGGTTGTCAAAGTTACATTAATTAAATTGGATTAAGACAAAATGGGCTGGACGGGTTTCAGGGCTGCCCCAAAATACAAACTATAATATTAAGAAAAAGACATACACAATAGAATATGAAACAAATTTTAGGCCCAAACTATAGTCATATATTCTTGTTTGGGCCCACTACGTTGAGAAAAGCCCATCAAGATTATTATATCTTAACCACATGCATCTACCATATGTTGTATAAATTAAAAGCTACCTAATGAATTGAATTTCATTAAGCAACACGGTTTTTTCTCGTTTAATTAATACCCTGGTACGACGATTTATGCATTATCGGAAGTTCGGCATCTCGAGGCTGGGCTAGAAGCTTATTACCCCATACTAAAATGCCTAGGCTGATTAACAGTAGTGTGTCTGTGTGTGTGAAAATAGGTACAGTTACTTGCCGAACCTATTTTAAGTAAGCACGACTTATAATAATAATACAAGTATAATTTCACTCATAAATGAATTCATTTATGGATGAGTTAGGCTCGACCGAAAACTCTATTCTATTTTTAACCAAGACTATCAAGTATGCTCCTAGCTTAACAGCTATGCCACAAGCCTCTCTATTTTCTGGCTCACAAAGCATTATATATTCTGATACTTCATCCCCAATTTCCAACATACAAAATTTCAGCTGCACTAAATAAACTTATCATGGCTACTGCATTTGCAACATTACTTTGTTCTTCTTCATCTTATATTTTCATCCAAAATAAATCTATTTCGTCTTCTCGTACCTTCTCTCATCCACTTGTTACCAAAGCTACAACACTTACGTCGTCTTTGGATATCCAAGTAAAAGTGGATAACCCCGGTTTCAAATTTATGGATAAGGGTGAAAAAGTCCAGCAAATTCACAGCATTGAAGAATACGACAGCGAACTTCAATCTTCTTCGCACGGAAAGCTAGTGGTTGCTCACTTTTCAGCGACTCACTACAAGTACAAAATCCTAATGCAACAATTCATGGAGGAACAATGTTCGATATCGAAAGATATCAAGTTTCTGCATGTGATGGCTAACGAATCAGACAAAACCATGCAACTATGCAAGAGAGAGCAAATCGATAAAATCCCGTATTTTATCTACTATAAGAAAGCAGAGAAAATTCACGAAGAAGCTGGATTTCGTCCAGAGAAGCTTTTGAGCGAAATACTGTACTATGTCGAAGACCCCTTTTCGCAAGTGGTGCAGTTGAAACGTGTGGGAGATTTCGAGAAGCTGATAAAAGCTCACAAGTTTGATAACAAGTTGATTGTGGTGAATGTGGGAAAGAGGAATTGTATTCCCTGTGTCAAAATTTATCCAAGTGTGATTGAACTGGCAGGACAAATGGCAGGTAGGGTTATTTTCGGAAGGATGAATGTTGACGATGGAGATGAAATGTGCACGAAAAACATGTTGACGGAAATTGATGTTTATAAAGTGCCTGCGTTTTTGTTTATGAGAAACGGGGAGTTTTGTGGGAGGTATATTGGCTCTTGTCCGAGTACTCTCATTAGAGAGATTACGAAGTTGCAAAATTATCACGTGCAGAAAGAGCTTCTTCGTGTAAATGAGCTGAACTGGCGCAACAAAAGCTCGAATTCAAGGTCAAAAAACATCAACTCGTGCTCGTGAGCTTGATAATTCATTTTTTCCTTTTTCGAAATAATGAAAATCATAAACTCCTACACACCATAATGGAAATCAGATCCCTCCACATTTCGAAATAAATGAAGGTACAAAAGTAGGCCATGAATTAAGTGGAAGGTTCTAATTGGAAAGTAAGTAAACTTAAAAGCCATGCATTAATCTAAACTAACTAACAAACGGTGTACCCATGTGAGAAATGAAATAGAATTATGTGCTTGTCAAATAATTGATTGATACTAATACTCTACATAATGAATGTGTGTTGAGCTGGTTGTGACGTGTTAACAATGTCTGTAACAGCCTGTAACCATTCCTTCTATTGTTTTGTTCAACCAACTCTTTAAGTATCAACGCCTCCAATACCCTCACCTTCTACCAACCCCACCACGCTTTTGCCACCTTTTTTATTTTTTTATTTTTAATTAATTAATAATAATTAATATAAATAATAATAATACTTATTACCAGTTACTCATAATTTCATGCATATTTCTGTCACTTTTCTAAAATGTATCAACTTCCATTAGCTAAAATTAGAGACTTAATAAGGGGAAGCTCATGGTCAGGTCAGTGGCGGAGCCAGCATAGGTCGGGGGCTCATCCCCGTGATATTTCTCAAGTCCCTATTATTTTATATAGAAATATAAAAAATATCGTGTATAATAGCATTAACTGCCTCAAGCTAGAATTTTTAATGCATTCGGTTCCCCGAAACTTAAAATTCTAGCTCCACTATGGATCAAAACCTACATTTTGTGGTCGTAACTTGTAAAAGCCTAATTAATTGTAAAAAAAAAATTAATTTTTAATTTTGGAATTTCAACTATGTTTAATAATGTTTTTAAAGACTCAAAAATAATTATTAATCACCCCCCCTAAAAAAAGGATATTTACGCGTTATTTAATTTCATGGCCAACGCAAACTTGGGATTTGCATGTGAGCCCTGAGCAGTCGGTGAACTGACTTTACACAACATAACTAATTTTTATACTAAGCCTAACAGTGCATTGCAATTTTATTCTATAACTAACGTGACATTATTTTTCTTTCATAAACACGTAACCACATACATGCACCGAATAAATTTTATTTATGTGTAATAACCTAAAATTATATTGGCAAAGTAATCGATCGAACTCGTAATTATAAAAAAAGATCGATCAAACTCGAGTCGTTAGACATGTATGTAATGTAGCATTATACATTCACACGCGTAAGGGACGCTTGTTTAATCGACAAATGTCACCTCCAAAATTTTATCCAAATATTTATTTTAAATAAAGTCAGAATTGTTTTGGATTTGTATGGAATTTATTTAATAATTGAAATTGTCAGCTGGTTGTACACTTGTATTATTATAATTATTATATAATTAAAATACTTTGATTTTCAATTAAGAAACTAGAATGATTAGTTCGCAGCATTTAGGCCACTATATATTTCCAGCATTTGGATTAGATTGTATCATTCATGAATTGCACGAAACCGTACAGAAGAAATTAAATTAGAGAATTCCAGAAAGTACTGCAGTCTGCACGTACCTTAATTCGGAGAGAGAGAGAGAGAGAGAGAGGCGAAAATTGATAAAAATGGAGTCGAAGATTGCAGAGGAGAAGTCTTCTTCGCAGAGAAGAGAATTCAGATTCTCGAGATCTGGAAGGAATCAGAAAGCATCGGCGAGCAATATTCTGGAGGCGATTGCGGAGATCAGCGGCGGAGAAATGGCTGCGGCGGAGGACGGACGGATGAAGATTATGGTGAAGAAGGAAGATCTGAAGCAAGTACTGGAGGCGATTAGAGACGGCCGCGGCTTGGGGCGGCGGAATTCGGCGTCGCCGCCGCCTGTGTCGTTGGAGCAGCGGCTGAATTTGATGCGAAGAAGGCAGATATTGAGGGCGGCGAACCAAGTGAAAGGTAGAAGCAGGGGTTCATGGATGCCTGCTCTACAAAGTATTCCAGAGTAGCTACTAATTTCAATTTTACTTTCACCCAATGTGCATTTATTTATTTATTTATATATATTCTTCAGCATAAGGATTTTAATTATATGTAGAGATATTTGATTTATTAATTTCAGAGAAATGCCTTAGATATATAAAAATTAAGGTATTTTGATTTGCTATGAATTCTACTTCTATTAAGATGTTAATGTTTTGTGTCCTTCAATTGGAACTTCAATGGAAAATAAAATACACCATTTTCAGTGAAATGATTTTTTTTTTTTTCATTTGATCACTTCTTATTGGGTGAAAATAAGTAAAAAGAATAAAGTATGGGCCTAAATGTAATTAAGCAATTTTTTAGGGTCTATTCAAAATGGGCCTGTGGCCCATAAATTATAAAACCTTCCTATTATACGAAGCTTCGATTTTTGACGGAAAAATACCAGCATAAAAATGGCGGAAAGAAATAAAGAATGCGAATAACTGAATTAACGGCCATTCTCTCAGATTCAACACGAAACTCCCCTGGTTATCGATTGAGTAAAAATGGCTAAAGTATTACCCAGTTTTCAGCTCCACATAGAACCCACTATTTCACAATATCAGACTTTCGCAGCAAAAACCCAAACTTCAAAAAAATCCCCAAAAAGTGAACCCAGAATCCAAAATCAGAATTCGAGGTCAAGAAGAAAATCCGTAAATCTAAGAGAGATGAGAAGTTACGAAAGTTCAGTTTCATCCACTAGAAAACTGCTCTCTCTTGTAAATTCGGGTTCTTTGGATAATGCACTCCAGATGTTCGAGACAATGATTAAATCAAGCACTTTCGTTTGGAATGTGATTATCAGGGGTCTAGTTGATTCCGGGTTGTTCGAGAAAGCCATTGAATTTTACCGCAGGATGCAATTCGAAGGTACCAAACCCGATAAATTCACTTTTCCTTTCGTCATCAAAGCTTGCGCAGGGTTTTTTTGCCTGAACGCGGGACGGAATGTTCACTCCATCATTATTAAGCTTGGGCTTAATTTAGATATTTATATCTGTAACGCACTTATAATTATGTATGCTAAAGTCGGGTGTATTGAAGATTCGGAGAAAATTTTCGAGCATATGCTAATAAGGGATATCGTTTCTTGGAATTCGATGATCAGTGGGTATATTTCGTCTGGGAATGGTTGGGAATCGTTAATGTGTTTTCGTAGAATGCAGACACTTGGAGTGGAAATTGACAGGTTCAGTTATATCAGTGCTTTTAATGCTTGTGCTCTCGAAGGCTGTTTGTTACACGGAAAGGAGATTTTTTCCCACGTGCTGAAAAACGGGGTCGAATTAGACTCGATGATTCAAAGCTCGATCATTGACATGTTTGGAAAATGCGGTGAGGTGGATTATGCCGAGAGATTCTGTAATGGAATTTCGCACAAGAACGTTGTTGTTTGGAATGCAATGATTGGTGCTTATGCACTGAACGAGAAATCCATCGAATCATTTTCTTGTCTCGAGAAAATGCAAGATGTTGATAATTTGGTACCGGATGCTGTCACGTTTGATTAACTTGCTACCCTCGTGCTCGAAACTTGGAGCTTTATTACAAGGCAAAGCACTTCATGGGTATGCAATAAGAAAGGGATATTTGTTGTCTCATTTAGTGTTGGAGACTGCTCTAATCGACATGTACGGTAAATGTGGTTCTTTAGCTTTCGGCGAACGTATTTTTTTCCACATGAAGAAACGGAACCTGGTCTCGTGGAATGCAATGATTGCTGCTTACGTCCAAAATTCAATGGACAAAGAAGCCATCGAAACGTTTCAGAAATTGCAATACGAGACATATTATGTACCTGATGAGATGACATTTGCGAGCATATTATCCGCTTATGCTGGAATAGCGTTACCGAAAGAAGGGAAACAGATACACTGCCATATATTTAAATCGGGATTTTCTTCAGGTACGTTTATATCGAACGCAATGATTAATATGTACGCGAAATGCGGTGATCTTGATTCTGCACAACGAATTTTCGATAATATGTTGTGTGAGGGCAAGGATGTAATTTCGTGGAACACGATCATTATGGCTTACGCTATTCACGGATTTGGAGAATATTGCTTCGGGCTATTTTCCGACATGAAAAACGAGGGTTACGAACCGAACGAAAGCACGTTCGTTTCTATTTTATCAGCTTGCAGCATTGCTGGCATTTTCGAACAAGGTTGGAATTATTTCGATTTAATGAAGAATTATTATGGACTCGATCCTGGAATCGAGCATTATGGATGCATGCTCGATTTATTGGGACGTTTTGGTGATTTTGAAAAGGCTAAAACCTTTATAGAGGAAATGCCTTTGGCTCCAACTCATCGGATATGGGGATCTTTACTCTCTGCGAGTAGGCATCACAAAAACATCGAAATGGCTGAGGTGGCGGCTGAGGGTATATTCTCTTTAAATAACGATAATGCCGGATGCTATGTTTTGTTGTCGAACATGTATGCTGAAGTTGGGAGATGGGAAGATGTTGAACGGGTTAGATTGTTGATGAAGAAACGAGGATTGGTGAGAATTAAAGAGTGCAGCATAATCGAGTGTCATGGCAAAACTCACAAGTTCAGAAATTACGAGAAATCGGAAAATGGGATTAAATTTGTGTATGATGTTCTTGGTGTTGTTTCGAGAAGCATAGGAGAAAACTTGTATTTGTGCGGTGACACGAAATTCAAGGTGTCGAGTTTATTAAAAACGAGAGCAAATTCTCCGATGTGGCACAGTGTGAGGTTGGCTATTTGTTTTGGATTGATCAGGACTTCGATTGGGGAGCCTTTGATTATTCGAAAAAACGTGAGAATATGCGAAGATTGCCATTCTGCTGCTAAAAAGATCTCGTTGGTTACTGGTAGAGAGATTTTTATTGGGGATCCGCAAATGTATCACCGTTTCAAAGATGGTCGTTGTTCTTGTGGAGATTACTGGTGATTCTATGAATTAACCAATAAATAAAAAAAAAAAAAAAAGAAAAAAAAAAAGAATGTCTGTTGGTTATACAAATGATATTTGACTATTGAAGGTATGTAATTGCAGAAAATCAAGGAAAAAATGATATGACAATGACCTTACCATTAGGAAAGAGGTCCAATATTTCATATATGCTGTATTTGTTTAAATTTTCTTTTAGTTTGATATTATTATATAAATATTTGTGAATAAATTTGTGGTTTTTAATTACTTAATATATAGGTAAAAGTAGATTCTCCACCTTGGGGTAAGGATCCGTTCTTCAATCATGCACCCCAAGCTCAACATTACTATTGTTGATTTGTTGTGTTTGAACTTTGAAGCATCGATGCCTCTACGACGTCGTTTCGTTTGCTTAATCAATGCGTACGATTTTTTTTATATTTTTCTTTTTCCGGATTTTCATTGAGACAGAAAAAGGAAAATGGAATTTCAGCCAAATTATGGTTATTTTCTCTCTCTTCCTCACAAAGGTAAATTAGGACTAATTTTTTTTAACAGAACATTAAGACTAATTTGATTGTAAATAAACTATACATTTCAATTTAATGTGATTTAAAAAAAAAAAAAATAGGCATATATATTTGTATAAACAAGAACCTATTCTGCAATATTTAAGAAAAAAAATGTAACGTATGAATGAAAAAATATATACAGAGACGCAAAAATAAAATCACCCAAAAAAGAAAAGAAATTATAAAACAAAAAATTCAGGTACCACTCAAAAAGTCAAAACAAAGCTTCGAAAAAAGGGCCAGCTCTGTTTTCTTCTCGGTCAACTTTCCGATCACTCATCGGCCATCGCCATTCTCTTCTTCGGCAAACCAACCTTCGAGCACCACCGACGAAACGACGTCGTCGAGGCATCCGAACAGCCGGCAGCAGTTCTCCTTCAACTTCTTCCACCACCGCGTCTCCTCGCTACGCGCCACCGGCTTGAGGTACGCCCACGCTGCGTGCTGCAGCAGTGGATCCTTGATCGGAATCTCCTTCCAGCTGTAGCTCTCCGGCAACAACGTCGGCCGCGCCGACGCAGCCGGCATCAGGTCTTTCAAGCTTACGTAATTCGTACTCTGCACATTAAACATCTCTATTTCGCGATTAGCGCCGCCGCTAATTATATTCACTAATTGTAAATTTGGAGAATCGAAGGCGAGATCAATCAAATTGTCATGAGGATTAAGGATGGGGTTATGGGGATTAAATATAGGGTTCATCACCATGGTAGAATTAGAATATGATTAGTACTCCTAATTGGAATTAGTATTTCATGTCTAAGTTATAATACATCTCTACAGAGCATGGAATTTCGGAGTGTGCGTTTTTGGAGAGACAGTTGGGAAGGGGAGTTTGTGCGAGTAGAATTGGATGGTTTAGGTAGGGTGTGCGTGGGGTCCACGCGCAGTTGGAGAAGGCTAAATTGTGGACACGTGGTTGTGGCTCGATCCCAGGCGCGTGAGGTCATATTTTCATTTTGTCTTCTGTGTTGCGAAAAAGTTGCCTTGTCAGCATCGGAGTCTTTAGAAATCAGAAGTTAGAAGTAGCTGAAATAGGCTATTAATTGCCAATATCTGGGCTTCAGGGCAAACAGGAGAAAAGTACTACTAGGATTTAAATACGTAAAAAAAATACTGTTTTTGTTTTTTAAATTGAACAATTAAATTAAATTGTGACACTTACAAATTAAATTAAATTAAATTGAAAATTGGACTACTGATGGGGCATATTACAAATAAGCCCATCAGTGGGAACTTATTCATAAAGAGATCCAGACAATATTCTCCTTTACCAATAAGTCCATACATGGTCCAGATTTATGTAAAGGACTAAAATAACCCCTCTTACTTTAATATGCTCCAATTTCATCCTTAACTTACTTTAACTTCAATTTGACCCCAACTTTCACAAATTATTCAATTTTGACCCAAAACTTTTTTTTTTTCACAAATTTTTTTTTTTTCAAAAAACTTTTTTTTCCCGCCGGATTCCGGCGTTAACTTTTATGTTTTATTGGGTTTTATTTTTACCGACCGAATTTTTTTCCCTATTCCGGATTCCGGCGTTGACCGGCGGTCAACGCCGGTTTCCGGCGTTGACTTTTTAAATTTTTTTTAATTTTTTTTTTTTTTTTTCCTTCCGGATTTTTTTTCCGGATTCCGGCGGTGACCGGCGGTCAACGCCGGTTTCCGGCGTTGACTTTTTAAAATTTTTTTTTTTTTTTTTTTTTTTTTTTTTTTTTTTCCGTTTAAACAACAATATTGCTGTGAATGACAGTAATATTAACTATATTACTGTTAAACACAGTAAAATTAACTAAACTATAGTTTAACACATTGATATTGCTATATTAATCTCTAGCACATTAATATTAACACAACAAAATTCATTATTATTGTATAATAAAGTAATATTACTATATATGTTGTCCGTTCAACAAATGTAAACAAAATAAAAAAAACCAAAAGAATTAATATTACTGTGAGTGACAGTAATATTACTATAGCAACAGTAATATTACAATAGTAGACAGTAATATTATTACGTTACTCCGTGAATAACTCGAACAAACAAAAAATCCAAACAAAATAATAATATTGATGTGGTTGACAGGAATATTACTATAACAACAGTAATATTACCGTCAACCACAGTAATATTATTGTGTTTACAGTAATATTACAATAATAGACAGTAATATTAATACGTTACTCCGTGAATAACTCAAACAAAACAAACACCCCAAAAAAATAATAATATTGATGTTGTTGACAGTAATATTATTGTGTTTACAGTTATTTTACTGTCAACGACAGTAATATAATTACGTTGACTTGTCAACAAATCAAAAAAAATAAAAAAAATAATAATAAATAAAAAAATATAATATTGCATTAATTTACTGTCAACGGCAGCACAATTACATAAATGTAATGTCAACGGCAGTACAATTACGTTAATTAACTATCATTGACAGTATAATTACGCTAAATTACTGTCAGTGACAGCACAATTACGGTCAACGTGTAGCGGCGGGCGTGGAAAAACAAAACAAACCAAACAAAAAAAAAAACTTAAAAAAACACTAAAGAAAGAGACCGCCGGAAACCGGCGAAAAAATCCGGAAGAAAAGAAAAGAAAAAAAAAAGAAAAAAGCAAAAAAAAAAAAAAAAAAAAAGTCAACGCCGGAATCCGGAAAAAAAATCCGGAAGGAAAAAAAAAAAAAAAAAAAGTTTAAAAAGTCAACGCCGGAATCCGGCGGCAAAAAAAAGTTTTTGAAAAAAAAAATTTTTTTGAAAAAAAAAAAAATTTTGGGTCAAAATTTAATAATTTGTGAAATTTGGGGTCAAATTGAGATTAAATTAAGTTAAGGATGAAATTGGAGCATATTAAATTATACTCCAAAAAAAAGTCAAAATTGAATTTTTGTGGTCAAAATTGAACTTTTATGGACAAAATTGATTAATTTGGATTACAATTAAGAATTGGGTATAAATGATTGAGGGTAATATTGGGATATACATGAATGTTTCCTTTAGTTATAATAAATATTAAAGGGATGGGCTTATTGGTGAAAGAGATATGTCCCCTATACCTAGAATAATAAACATGCTTGGTTGGGGACTTTTGCATAAAAATCCCCTACTGATGACAGAAAAATCCAAAATAGGAAACCAGATTTGAATTGGAATATAGTTACTTATATAGTACACGTGCCATTTAACTGACGTTGATCATGTAAGTAACACGTAACCAATAACTTGGTTTTTTTTTTTTTGATAATAAAATAAATAAATTGGGTTGGCTGAATTAAATCATAGTATAACTTTTCTCTTTTAGTCATTAAGATAAAGTTCTTTTAATCACTTCGAAATAATAAAATAACACATCCATCTCACATCATTAATTATCCTGTAATATGTATTTACTTTGAAATTAAAATTGATGGGCCTAATTGAGATCCGAAGAACAATTTGATGGGCCTAATCGAAAAGGCTAAAAGAGCAAAAGAAAATTACTAAAAAGTCCGTGCATATTTTATTTTGAAGCCCATAATTTAGCCTTTTGGGCTGGAAAGTGTAATAAAGGGCCCGACTTTTAAGCATTTATCGAATGCGCTTTTAGCTTTCGACCTACAATTTTATTTGCCGGTACGATTTTCCGACTCGCCGCTGAAGAACGGTACGCCGATGCGACGTCGTATTTCGCATGAAACTGAAAGGTGGCCTTTTTATGGTGATGACAACGCATGATTCTTCTCTGCCACCGCGTCGCCGCCAGTTCTTCTCTCCACTTCCATGGTTCTTACCTTTTTGTTTTCAAAATTATACTAATCGTAAATTCGTATTTTTACTGTTTTTTTTTTCTGGTTTTACTAATACGATCTACAATCATCTCTCTTACTTCAGACAGTGCATTTATATACTCTTTGTAACGAATCTGTGAAAAAGTGATTAGAGCAAGAGTACTTTTTTAGGTTTGTTTTATTTATTATTAATTTATTGTTTTTTGGTGATGATTTTACATGTTTAATGTGTTTATCCCATTTTGGATTTAAACTCATAAATGCAATAATTAGTGTAATTAATTTCCTGAATCTAATTTGAATCCTTTTCTATTTTCCCGATTCCCAATAGAAACAAAGAGTTTCATCAGTTAAGCTAACAAAAAGCAAGATGCCCGGAGCCAACGATGCTGAATACGTAGCCCTAGAAGATGGAATCTCCCCCAAATTGGAACATTACACCAAGGTTTCGATTCTACCTCTTGTTTTCTTGATCTTTTACGAGGTATCCGGCGGTCCATTCGGTGTAGAGGATAGTGTTAAAGCAGCTGGTCCTCTTCTAGCACTTCTTGGATTTGTGATTTTCCCATTTATCTGGAGTGTTCCGGAAGCTTTGATAACAGCCGAATTGAGTACGATGTTTCCCGAGAATGCGGGATATGTTGTTTGGGTTTCATCAGCTTTGGGCCCTTATTGGGGTTTCCAACAAGGATGGATGAAATGGCTTAGTGGGGTTATTGACAATGCACTTTATCCTGTTTTGTTTTTGGATTATCTAAAATCAGCTTTCCCGATTCTTGAAGATGGTTTGCCTCGTACGGCAGCGGTTTTGGGGATTACTCTCTTGCTGACTTACGTTAACTACAGGGGCTTAACCATAGTTGGGTGGGTTGCTGTATTGCTAGGGGTGTTCTCGTTGCTCCCTTTCTTGGTTATGGGAGTTATAGCAGTCCCTGAATTGAAGCCTTCTAGATGGTTAGTGTTCGATTTGGATAACGTCGATTGGGCTTTGTACTTGAATACTCTGTTTTGGAATTTGAACTATTGGGATTCGATTAGTACTCTATCCGGAGAAGTAGAAAACCCTGGTAGAACACTCCCAAGGGCTTTATTTTACGCACTTATTTTCGTCGTGTTAGCTTATTTTTTCCCGCTTTTAATTGGCACCGGTGCTATTCCACTTAATCGGGATTCGTGGGAAGATGGGTACTTTTCGGAAATCGCGAAAATAATCGGAGGGGTGTGGCTGAGATTTTGGGTGCAAGGTGCTTCAGCTGTATCGAATATGGGGATGTTTGTGGCCGAAATGAGCAGCGACTCTTTCCAACTTCTTGGAATGGCGGAGCGTGGTATGCTTCCGGAATGTTTCGCCAGACGGTCGCGCTACGGCACACCTCTCGTGGGGATTTTATTCTCCGCTTCGGGTGTAGTGCTCCTCTCTTGGCTCAGTTTTCAAGAAATTGTTGCTGCTGAGAATTTTCTGTACTGCTTTGGAATGATTATGGAGTTTGTGGCTTTTGTGAAGCTGAGGGTGGAGTATCCAGCTGTTTCTCGACCCTATAAAGTTCCTATTGGTACAGTTGGTGCAGTTCTAATGTGCGTTCCTCCGACTTTGCTGATATGTGTTGTTTTGGCATTGGCTTCCTTCAAAGTCATGTGTCTTAGCCTAGTTGCTGTCCTAGTAGGCCTTGTACTAAGGCCTTGCTTACAGTACAGTGAGAAAAAGGGGTGGTTCAGATTTTCAAACCCTCGAGATTACGCCAATCAAATGTTTACGGATCAATAGATATTGTAAGTAGCATCATTCTTTTCGCTTATTTTCTGAACAAAGATTTTCAATTATAGACTTATAAATAATTGTTAAAAATACAGGGCTCCGATCGTAAATTACGGGTTCTTTCGGAGGGTCGAAGAAGGCGGAGTGCATATGGACGAGCCATGAACTCTATTACAGCACAGGGAATCAAATCGAATTGGACAATATTTGCTATTGCATCTCCTGGCATGTAAAATTTGAGCTATCATATCACAATGTATGTATTTTCCTAATTGAAGTATTTCATTATCCAGCAATTTATTATTTCCTGCCATATATAAAATAGCTTTGTGTAGTGTTGATGCTGACATAAGCTTAGGACACCAACCAAATAAGCACAAAAGCAAAACTACAAGACGTTATCAATCATTGCTCAACAGGACAACAAAGTCTTCGGATTCTCCAAGAATTTTTCGAACATATGAAACATCGGTGTTTCTGTCTTTATTTCTTCAAGAAAACTGAAATTTAGTGTAATATAACGAACACAGAAGAGATCAAACACTCTCTTCTTCCTTTATTCATCCTGAATGAAAATGGGTGTTCACAAGAACAGCCCTAAAGCTTCTCCAAAGCAAAAACCAGCTACTCTCAAATCCCTTCTTGATCATGATTCAAGGTACAACACTTCCAGCAGACAGTCCCACACTGACTTCTCGACATCAGAATATGAAGAGATCCTCTCTCTCGTCTCGTATTGCTCTTACACCTACACATTCACCGACCCTTCGGAATCTCCTTCGCTACGAAACCTCAAGCGCGAAAAGCTCACTAAACTTCTCTCGATAATAAAACCCCTAAAAAAATCGGTGGCCCCCGATGAAATATTATCACCACTTTTCGCCATGATAATGGCGAATCTCTTCCGCCCCCTCCCTCCCTCCAACACCTCCATCGTGAGCATCTCACCGGACGATGATGACTTCGTCGCCACATCAGCAGCCGCATGGCCCCACCTGCACCTAGTCTACGAAATCTTATTACGCCTCGTTGTCCATTTGGAAGCCAAGACTCTCCGTGAGTACATTGACGATTTTTTCGTTCTCAATTTGCTAGCCCTTTTCCAATCCGAAGATCCGAGGGAGCGTGACAGCTTGAAAAATGTGTACCACAAGATATACTCGAAATTCCATTCTTCGAGATCGTTCATGAGGAAGGCAATGAATGATGTTTTCTTGCATTATATTTTCGGGGGTGACGAAAAGCATTGTGGGATTGGAGATCTGCTCGAGATTTGGGGTACGATAATTAACGGGTTTAGTGTTCCGTTGAAGGAAGAGCATAAGTTTTTCTTGATGAGGGTTTTGGTGCCGTTGCACAGGCCGAAAGGTCTGCAGGCGTACCATAAGCAGTTGGCTTACTGTGTGTACCAGTTTGTGGAGAAGGAGCCTATGCTTGGGGTGGTGGTGGTTAGAGGTGTATTGAGGTACTGGCCGATGACCAACTGTCAGAAAGAAATTCTGCTCATAGGGGAGCTTGAAGAATTAGTGGAGAATATGGGGATTGAGCAGTACAAGATTATTGCACTACCTTTGTGTAAACAAATAACAAAGTGTCTCAACAGTTGGAATTCGCAGGTATTTTTTATTTTCTTCTTCCTTTTTACAAAATTACGAAAACCGAAAAAAAAAAGGAAAAAAAAAATTATTTCTTGATTTAGGTAGCGGAGCGTGCTCTATATGTTTGGAACAACGAGCGGTTTGTGAAGATGGCAATGGAAGGGATAAACGAAGTGTTTCCGGTTGTGGTTAGAGGGATGGAAAAGAATATAAAAGGGCATTGGAGCAAAAGTGTACGGCAACTAACGGAAAATGTGAAGGAAATGTTGGAAGAAATGGAGCCATTTCTTTACTCAAAGTGCCTATCCGAGCTTGACCGTTATGACTCTGTTAGATGTGAAGAGGAGATTCGACGAAAGGAGATGTGGGGGAAAATAGAAATTGCTGCAAAAATGAATCGATTCGACTATGACTCGTAATAGCTAAGGCATCGATCGTTATTAGAACCGGTTTATGGTTGCACACTCACCTTCAATTATATATTCGTGTATAAATTAATTCACAAACTATTGTTTTCTGCTACAATAAATACAAATATTGGTGGAACTATCTTCTTACAAATATATAATATGACATCAAGTTCATATATGTATTGATTCAAAAACACATAACAGCCAGAAACAACTCTTATTTATTTATTTAATAATAATAATACAGAAAAATAAGTTGTCCAGCAACATAAAGTTCGATCAAAACAATGGCTTAACCTCTTAACATGAGAAAACAATGGAAATGCATGACGATGGCTACAAAATGTCGTCGAACCACAAAATGTTCAAATTTAAGAAGCCAAACGGTCAACTTATCTAGAACGAGGCAATAATTTAAACGAATCACATGATCTATCTGGTTCCTTTTTTTTTCTGAAAGAATAAGGATGTTTTCTTTTTCCTGCCGAAGAGCCTTGGCTTCCGTGGGCTCATCAAATATCTCAAGGCTTATTAATTTATAACCAGATAGAGATAAACCAACCAACCAAATACACATCAAACAATATATCACAAAGCGCAATTAAAAAAACAAAAACACAGACCCGATCCAAGAGCATGTCTCTTTCCCATTAATTAGATGCATCCCTGCTGTAGAATTGGTCGAGTGTCTTTGCTGGAATACGATGAAGAAGTTCCCTTGGAAAGATTCGGAGCAGTGTCCATGCTAGATCGAGTGACTGGAAGATGTTACGGGTGTCATATGCCCCTTGTGCAACGAATTTCCTCTCAAATTTATCCAGGAACTCTAGATATAGCTGTACAATGTACGTCAACGGATATATATTAGTAATCCCGATTATTTCACTTGATATAATGATATATTAAAGCAAAATTATGCAAAAATAACAGACCAGATCTTCTGAGGAAAGAGCTTCTTCTCCAACCACAGCTTTCATTGCCTGAACATCCTTCCCAATGGCATAGTTGGCATATAGCTAGGCATACATTAAAATCATGTACATATATCAGCAAAATAGATTTAATGAATTAATGGAACTGCTAGAGCATGTCGTCAGTCCTATGTTAGATCATATACCTGGTTAGACACATCGGAGTGATCCCTACGAGTCATGCCCTCACCAATGGCACTCTGCAAAACATTGAATCCACAGTAATTAACGTGGCTTCAGAATATCCTATCACTCCTGCATGTGTCATACAAAACAAAATGCACAATTTTTCAACGTACCTTCATTAGACGAGACAAGGATGGCAGCACATTGATTGGAGGGTATATCTGTAAGTTCAGGCAGGAAACATTTAATCAGCCAAATTTAAGAACACAACCCAAGAGAGAAAAACACGTTGATATCATCAAAGAAGAGGATGCACCAAATGTACACAATGCTGAATGATAAAGTCTCACCCTTATCAGGTATCATACATATGCGATGCATACAGTTACCTTGTCTAATAATTTTAAGAGGTTGCCTCAAAGTTCAAAGATGGTGTAATGATTTGTATAAGATCTATAAAAGAGTAGTTTGATAGCATAAATCTCTTTTCACCTGTCTATTCTGAAGTTGTCTGTCAACATATATCTGCCCTTCGGTAATATAACCAGTCAAATCTGGAGTTGGATGTGTAATATCTGGCCAATTCAAAGGAGAAAAATAGAATAAGATTGATTCACCAACACCAAGGAGGGGGGCAATAAAAAGTAATTGCCATGTTCGATGTTAAAATGTATATCTTACCATCATTAGGCATGGTTAAAATAGGAATTTGGGTGATAGATCCCTTTCGCCCTTCAATACGTCCAGCTCGTTCATAGATGGTTGCCAGATCAGTGTACATGTAACCAGGATATCCACGTCTTCCAGGCACTTCCTCCCGAGCAGCAGACACCTAAGAAGGCATTAAGTACTTATATTGAGAAAAAATAGATACATAGCACTCGATAACTACCAGTAAATGTTAGAGGAACCGTAGACGTCAAATAATAAACTGTTAAATAAGGAAAAATCATCAGTCGATATAGCTGAGAAAGCTGGATGCTTTTGAAGATGTTACCTCACGAAGAGCATCAGCGTAAGAACTCATATCTGTCAATATGACAAGGACATGCTTCCCGCATTCATATGCTAAATATTCTGCAGTAGTCAGAGCAATACGAGGAGTAATGATACGTTCAATTGTTGGATCATTGGCCTGTAGAGAGGTGATATCAGAAAAGGACACAACTGAAGACATGTGATCCAAGATTTTATGCAACAAAAAAATATACATATCTCAGAAGATGATAAGCATGTGTACCAAGTTCAGGAAAAGGGTCACTCTCTCCATAGATCCATTTTCCTCAAAATCACGTTTGAAGAACTGAGCTGTCTCCATGTTGACTCCCATAGCTGCAAAGACGATAGCAAAATTGTCCTCTTCACCATCCTGCGGCATAGGGTAGATCATAAGGATCATGGTAATACGGATACAATCACCTCAAGATATCAAAATATTTTGAATCGTAGAATAAAGTCATGGAACTAAGTATGAAAGTCATTCTAAACTCTTAAGCATATTTTTTTCCAAAAATGTCAGGTGGCTGTGAAGTTAAATACATATCCCTAGCCTGAATTGAGGTTCTCTTGAAAAAATAAAGAGTATATTTCCTCTTTGCTTTAGCGCGATGAAATGAGACTGGGACTTCAATACATGATAAGACCAAAATCAAACAGCAATGGACGTTCCATTCTGTCAAGAAACAGCATACTGAAAGCACACAGTAACAAAGTAAACATTGATATGAGTATTAAACTATTAATTAAGAATGTAAGGTCAGAAATCTAATTGTTTTAGTTGGTGACCATATACCTGAAGAAGATTGTCAGTTTGCTCCAACCGTTTCACCAAACCAGCCTGACGACATATCTGAGCAGCTATTTCATTGTGGGGAAGACCAGCAGCAGAAAACAGAGGAATTTTCTGTCCTCGGGCAATCGAGTTCATGACATCAATAGTGGAAATTCCTGTCTGTATCATTTCTTCAGGATAGGTTCTCTCACTAGGATTAATTGAACTCCCTGTCGCAAACAGGTAAGAGATAGAGAATACATCAAACACAGTCACCCGACACGCATACGCTACTTGAAACTGCACTGACACTAACCAGATATATCCAAGTAAGCCTCAGGAAGAATAGGAGGCCCATTGTCAATAGGTTTCCCTGAACCATTAAAAATACGACCAAGCATGTCCAATGAGACAGGCGTCTTTAAAACCTGTAAGCAAGTTAAAAAATAAATAAATAAATAAGAAGTGAAAAGGCACCAGGAGTGAATCTCATTTTTTTCTAAATGACGATGCACTAACAATTGGGATAAAAGGATTCAGCAAAAACGGAACTCCTAAACAAATCAGTACTCGGGAATTCATAAATAGGTGCCTGCTTTCTAGAGTGCTTTTTTAGACCACAACAATTTAGCACTGCTCAAGTTAAGCCCATTGCCATCCCAATTTCAAAGAATCAGTAATCTAAAGTACTAAGCTGGCTAAGAATTAGCATGAGCAGGTCAATTGTTAGCCAAGACTGGTGACGGTATCACTGATAGACTCTATTGTTAGCCTATAACCATAAGTGGAACAATCTACACCCTGACTCAACCCCCACAGTTGACAGTATTAAAAAAGTTAAATGTGGAACATTGAGTTCACAATGCATTAGTGATTCTCAGAGAGGAAAACAAGAGGGGGTAAGTTGGATATACTGTACCTCCCCTGTAAACTGGACAGTAGTATATTTGTTGTCAATTCCAGAAGTCCCTTCAAAAACCTGATCAATAGAACAAGGTAAAACAAATAGTCATTAAAATTGTGAAAATAGGCAATGCAAAAATCTGTCTGACAACAATTCAAGGAAAGGGATCTCTTAAGCAAAAATCTCAACAGATCATCATTGAAACTATAAAGAAGCAAGAGAGAAAAGGGTGCATGTACTTGTTGTAGATATTAATGAGACTATTATGATACATAAGTACCAGAATCAACGCTGGCACATGATTGTACAGACCTCATAATATTCAACAGATCATCATTGAACTATAAAGAAGCAAGAGAGAAAAGGGTGCATGTACTTGTTGTAGATATTAATGAGACTATAATACTGTTGTTTATGATACATAAGTACCAGAATCAACGCTGGCACATGATTGTACAGACCTCATAATATATTGACTTGGGAATAAGATAATGAACCCCATTGAAAGAGTAAAAGATGAGCATTTAATTACGCTCACCTGAACCACAGCTTTCTCGCCATCAACCTCCAAAACTTGTCCACGACGGGTTGTTCCGTCTCCTAAGCGAATGTTGACAATTTCCTGGTACTTGGGTCCCTGGCATAGTTTCAAAAGAAAACTAAATGATTCTGTTCACACTTCAAAAATCTACATTCATACATACCTAAAGAAGTATGTGTAAATGATGATACACAAAGAAGAAATGGTAACGAGCAGCAGAAATTCACCTTGACTTTGTCAAGAATAACCAGAGGACCAGCAACTCCAGAGACAGTTCTATATTCTGTAAAATATTTAAGAATAAAAAAGTGTATGAAAATGTGTAAAATATGGAGAATTCATATGTAAGAAGCGGAAATGAGTAAATATTTCCTATCATCAATATTTCTTTACATCAAACCTCAGGCAGTCATAGTGCCCGAAATTGGCCTAAAAGTACATCCATTGACACTGGCAGATAGTATTATTGACATTTATTAAAGATGCAGTTTCCCTGGATAATGTTCTTTAATGGTATTAAGACATTTCTCGAGCATAAGAATCTAATAAAAATCAAAGTGCAAATTACTTGCTAGTACTCGGAAAACAGCTAACAACAAATAAGAAATGCCAAGAAAAATCTATATTTTAACTGTTATCTTCTTTTAGAGCTTCCAAGTGCTATCAGTAAACATCATACTAAGACTTCTGGAAGTTCATAAAGTCGTATCTCATTCTGCTATGATGAAAATATACGAGTCTAGGCAAGATTACTGCATGCTCGGAGAGCTAGTTGCACATTCGACCATTAAGGCAATTCAATTTCACATTCTTAACTTAAATCATCCACAGACAGGCAAATATAGACGAACATCTTAGAGTAACATATGGATGGTTACAGATGTTTGTATATATATAAGCAACTATGTATTTAACTGAGTGAAGAAAACTCCATGTCAACATACCCATTCCAATCTCCAGAGTTCCCTCCTCCATGTCAACGTTGTTTTCCTTACCCATATTTAACCTGCACGATTCACAATACTAGAGATCAAACAAGGAATTAAAAATGACTCAACAAAATGGTAATTGAAGCAACTGACTTCAGTTGCATAAAGTTATAGATTCTAAACAACAATTCCTGCTAACACACCTCAACCTACTTCATCATCTCTTAAAATCACCTCTCAACCATAAGCATTTGACCTTTCAGATTGGATCACCACTAATAAAATCAGTGACAAATACAGAGACGATTGCCGATACATCACACAATATATATATATAGATATATATATACAGACACCACAAAATCAGAAACAATATGCAAAACTACGAAGTAATTCATCATTCAACTCCATCAATTACTCCAACGGAAAACTCGGCGAGTATCCTAAACGAAGTAAATTCAAGCAGATGCGATGCATATAAATCAAAAAGTCGCCGAGAAAACAATCAATGGCGAACAAGTCTTATACTATTGAAATTGGAGATTCTGAAATTGGATCTGGAAAGCTGCATACCTTTTTTGCTGATTTGTTTTCCAATCCGAGAGCGCGAGAAAGGGCGGAGGGCAGTTGGAGAAAAAGATGAGACGGATGATGGGCAGAGCAAACACGAAACTGAGATCTGATGGTCGAAATAAATAATTCTATTATTTGTGTTTTCGCATATTTTAAATGATTTCTCTGTAATTTCAATCCAGTCGTGACTCGTGATGTCATTAATATTATTATTATTTTTTAATTTTTTTTGTAAAATTCAGATTATTAATTATTATATAGTTATTGCATTATTTAAGATGTTATTGGTCCAGAAGTTACTGCTTCCTCTACAAAAATTTGTTATTGCATAATATAGAACTTTTAAAAAGTTGTACAAAAAAAAAAAATTAATTGCCAAATGCAAAGGTACTGAGTGATTGGCTTATCAAAAAAAGAATGGTACTGAGTGATTGATCAAGAATCTAATTAAATAAAACAAGTGGTGAGATACAGGCTCAATCAAAGTCTAGTTAAATTAATGGTTTAATAATTGAATTTTATAAACTCAACAAGTCTAATTAAATAAATTATTATGCCTACAATGCTCAAATATGCAATGGAAATCTACAAAAGTCATCTGTATAAAAAAATTCAAATTGAAAGAGATTCTATAGTACGTTGCAGATTCCAATTCTCCAAAAACTCTAGTAAAAAAAACCAACTGGAATTTTCGATTTTACAAGGTTACGTCACATAATTTGAACAATTTATCATCTCCAATAATTTGGATGATTTGAACATCATCAAGTATGAAATGTATTTTTAGCATGTTGTTCTTGAATCGGGACCGGAAAAATATATTATTTAAAACAGATTATTAATTTATCGAGATTCTACACTGTTGGCGCCATATTTTCGGTTATTGAAGATCGAGGAAATCCGCCAAGTTTTGGAATTAAAAGATTGGCAAAGATTTGTTTTCCATATTTATTTTGGAATTTATTAGAGTCCTATTCTTATATACTTCTATTAGGACTTAGATTTATTTCCATGTATTTTATTCTAGTTAGGTATCTTTTGTACTTATCTAGAATAGAAGTAGAAATCAACTAGGATTCTATTACCTAGTTAAATTGATTTCTTATGGCCCAAGTTAGGTCTTAGGGCTTATTTTCGTGGCTATATAAGCCTCCAAGACATACAAGAACCGCGGGCATTATTTGGGAGAAAAACCACTTCATAGCATCGAAGTTTTGCCAAGGCGTTCTGCGGAGCAGGACTGTGCCATCGTTGCACTGTGCCATCGCTGTGTGTGCCAATATATACAGATCTGCTGTATAGATCTCAAGGGAGATCAACCGCGTTTCTGAAGGGAGTTCGAGGCACGCGGTGTGGAGCTGCTGTTGGAAGAAACACGGAGTTCGAGTTGTGTACAAGAACGGCATATTACATAAAGAGGGAGTCTTTAGTGTTTTTAATAAGTCCTATTAATGTACACTGTAAATCTGAACTAGTGAAATCGTGTTTGCAGGTCCACGTGGATGTAGGGCACATTTGTGTCTGAACCACATTAATTTCTTGTGTTCATTTATTCTGCTTTTAGTAGATTTATAACTGTGTTAACACAAGAATTATAGTTGTAACTGAATACTGTTTCCACAACTTAACTGTTACAACTTAGGTTAATTGATTTTTATAGGCATATAAATCTACAATTGGCATCAAGAGCCTCTCACTAGATATACATAGTGTGTGATTTTGGGAATTTGATTTATTTGCCTTTTGTCTTCCATAGGAACTATGAATGCTCATATGGAAGGTGGTTCCACGACTCGCCCACCACTGCTTACTGGAACCAATTACTCTTATTGGAAGACCAAGATGAAGATGTTCATCAAGTCAATGGATGAAGATGCATGGCGCACAGTTCTGACTGGTTGGAAACGACCTGTTGCCACAGATGAAAAAGGAATTCAAACTGAGAAACATGAAAAAGACTGGAGCAAAACTGAACAGATTGCCGCAAATATGAATTCCAAAGCATTGAATGCCATATTCAATGGAATTGATATCAATCAATTCAAAATCATCTCAGCATGTGAGTGTGCCAAAGAAGCATGGGAAAAATTACAAACAGCTTATGAGGGGACAACCTCTGTTCGATTATCAAAACTTCAGATGCTCGCCACTCGCTTTGAGGATCTTCGAATGGAAGAGAATGAAACCGTAAGCGATTTTAATTCGAAACTATGCGATATCTCGAATGAAGCTCATGGTCTTGGTGAAACCTATCCTGAAGTCAAGCTTGTTCGTAAAGTGTTGAGATCAATGCCAGACCGATTTGCATACAAGGTCACAGCTATTGAGGAAGCAAATGATGTGGACTCATTGCGACTTGAAGATCTGATCGGAAATTTGCAGACATTTGAGAACAAGTTGAACATCAGTAGAATGGATAAAGAGAGAAAAATCGCTTTACAAACTGTGTCTGTTGCGACACCATCCGTGCCCTCAGTTCCCATGACAGCACTCGAAGTCAAGCTAACAAAATCCATGTCTCTAATAGCCAAAAACTTCGGAAAACTCGTGAAAACGAATGGACATCCCAGAAGTCCTACAAACAAGCAAGAAGTTAGGAAGGGGATTAGATGTAGAGAATGTCGTGGCTATGGTCATATTCAAGCTGAATGTGCAAACACTCAGAAGAAGCAAGGAAAATCACTTGCTACAACCTGGAGTGACGATAACTTTGAATCTAATGATGAAAGTGAAGCAAGTGATGCTGAAACAAGTATTGACTTCTGTGGTACATGCAGGATCACTGAAGTGACACATGATGATGTCATATGCACTGAGCCGTCACCCATTAAGGTTGCTGAAGTGACACAGGATGTTAACACATGCACTGAGCCACCACACCTCAGGTATGCTACTCGTAAACTCGAGAATCGTACTAATCTTAACACAACTGTTATGTCCACAGAAGAAGAAGATTCAGAGGATGGTGAAGAATGCTCCATCGAGAAGATTCAACAGCAACTTAATGATCTTCTCAAGCAATGTCATGAGGTTGGTGATGAAAACAGGTGTTTGAAGGAGAAAGTGAAGGAACTGGAAGAGGAGAATGAAGCAATTAAAGTCAATCTGAAGGCCAGAATCGATGAGCTAGAATTGGAAAATGAGGTACTGGAGGTAAAACAGGATTTTGCTTTGAAGGATATTGACAATCTAAAAGAATTGCTGAGGCATTTGCGAAACAACGATTGCAATAAAGCAAGGGAGATCAAGAAAAATCCTGCTCCAAAGAAAAATGCTGAACCCTGCCTCAACCTGAAGTGTGACAACTCCCCTGTCGCAACAACGTTAGAGGCATCAGTCAGTAAGTTAAATCGCACTACGATTCTTCCTTCAAACAGGTTAGATGAAATTTTAAATGCTCATCCCTCAAATCCTGATAAACTTGGTCTTGGCTATATTGGGAGTAAGTTCGATGGTAAACCTAATCCAAATCGAAAAATTAATTTTGTGAATAATACTGTCAAACCTACTCCACAACATGTTGCCTCACAGTCTTATACAAAAAAATTTGTGCCAACTTGTCATTTCTGTCACAAAGTAGGACATGTTAGGCCAAAATGCTTTAAAAGATGGAAATTGATAAATAAGAGTTTAGCATATCAATCATCCAATTCCGCTGCATGGGATCACAATTCCCAAAGAAGATACTCTGATAATAAATGGATGAATAAGTATAATGCAAACTGCTTTCCTGCTATTCTTTCTTTAAAAGCATGTACTACGAACTCTTGGTATCTTGATAGTGGTTGCTCCAAGCATATGACAGGTGTTCCTAATTACTTAAAGAACATGCATAATGTGTCTGGTGGACAAGTTACTCTTGGTGATGGAAACAAGGTCTTTGTGAAAGGAGAAGGTAACTTGGATGTTGGAGGGTTACCTAACCTTGACAACGTTCTGTATGTAGAGGGTTTGAAATCAAACCTACTCAGCGTAAGTCAGCTATGTGATCTATACGACTCAGTGTTGTTCACCAAGCGTAAGTGTGAAGTTTTTGATCGAAACCACAGGTGTGTTCTATCTGGTTATAGATCCTCTGATAATTGTTATAAAATTGATCAAACTGACCAAGTTGAACAGTCTCCCCTCGCCACCTCTGATATCACAGATATGTGTTATCATCGACTGGGGAATTTGAATTTTCAGGATCTAACACGAAATATCAATGCAGGTTGTGTGAAAGGTGTTCCCCAACTAAATTCCAATACACCAGATTTATGTGGCGAATTTCTAATGGGGAAACAAACTGAGAGCATTGGAAGAGAAATACCAGAAGACAAAATCACAGAAGTATCGGTGCCGACATCTTATGTCACAACTGAAGATGTTACCACTGGTAAAGAAGGTATGAAAACTTGCAATAAGCCCAAGGTTGACTACCAGGAAATGGTCAGGTATGTCTATCTCACTTCCACTTTTGAACCAAAAAACATCAAAGAAGCAATTCTTGATAAATTTTGGGTGTTAGCCAAGCTTGAGGAACTTGAGCAGTTTTCTCGAAATGACATGTGGGCACTGGTTCTGAGCAATGACAAGGTAAAGCAACTAGATGATGAGATATTTATCTCACAGAGCAAATATGCCAAGAACGTGGTAAGTAAATTTGGGTTGAAAAAGGCAAAGTCTTTAACAACACGAATGACCTCAATTGAGAAGTTGGGACGAGATTGTGAAGGCACAGACGTTGATTCCACACTATACAGGAGCTTGATAGGAAGTTTGTTTTATCTTTCTGCTAATAGATATGATATCTGTTTCAGTGTAGGTATTTGTGCTAGGTACCAAGCAAGCCCTAAAGAGAGTCATTTGAGTGTTGTAAAGCGCATTATCCGATGTTTTAGTGGAACACCCGAATTGAGAAAATGGTATTCAAAAGTTACTAACAATTGTCTTGCAGGGAACAGTGATGCTGACTGGACAGGAGATGTGGATGACAGAAAAAACATCACAGGAGGTTGTTTCTACATTGGTAACAGTTTGGTATCTTGGTACAGTAAGAAACAAAATTCCATTTCCTTATCTAATGCTGCGTGTGAATACATAGCTGTAGGTAGCCGTTTCACTCAACTCTTTTGGATGCAACATATGTTAAATAACTATGGCTTTCGTGAAAAAGAGTTGCATGTCTTTTGTGATAATGAGAGTGCCATAAATATTTCAAAAAATCATGTTCAGCATTCTCGAACCAAACACATAGATCTTCGACACCATTTCATCAGGCAATTAGTTGAGCAGAAACGTGTGACTATAGATTATGTGTCCACAGACAATCAACTAGCTGATATTTTCACAAAGCCTCTTGATTTCCTTAGGTTTGATTCCTTGCGTAAAGCGCTTGGAATTTGCCATGAGCAAAACTGAATTTTCTATGATAGTGCAATTAATACTTGTGTCCGGATTGCACTTGATTTTTTTTCTCGGACATTATATGTGTCACCTGCTCATGTGACATCATTTTTGGGAACAGTAATGATGGGAGTTTTCATTTTGACTAATGGTTGTGTGTTAGTTTTTGTGAATTAATTTTTGTTTCCACAGTTAGCCATGATAGAAGTGTGCTGCCCCCTCTATCGGGAGTGATCAATGTCTATGACCTCATTCATCTCAAAGATCATACCTCTATTGGGAGAATTATGCTACCGCATATGCATCCCTGACTTCTATTTAAAAGCTATGTGGATTCTTGAGGAGGTTGCCCTCCTAATGTTTGCTTGAACATCATATCAACAAAAAGGGGGAGGAGTAGAAAAATAGTCCGTTTAAAAAAAAAATAAAAAAAAAAAGAGAAGAAAAAATAGTCCGAATTCAAAAAAAAAAAAAAAAAAAAAAAAAAAAAAGAAAAAAAAGAGGAAGAAGAAAAATTTGGGATGATATTCAAGCATATATTAGGAAATTCTCCTTGAAGTCCACGATCGAATTGCTGTGCTAATCGCATACGCATTCATAACCCTAATAAAATTACCTAAATTATGGTTTCTTGAGTATGGTCATGGGGTTATAGGTATATCGTGCATCCAAGAGTTTGCTTGGTGGCCTTCTATTGTGATTTTCTTTAAGATTATCAAATTAATTCATGAAAACCAAGCCCTCAACTTTTAATCTTGTGATCTTCTTGATTTTCTTTTCCTTAAAAGATGTTATTTTTTTCTTTTTGTTGTTTTAAAAACTTTCTTGAATTTTTTATACATGGGCTCTGTGAATTTTTTGGCTACTAGTTGTCTCTGGCCACGTGGCTATGGCCATGTCATCTGCCTTCTCTATTTTTTGATGTTCGTGTGAAGAATATCTTGTTTGTTATTGGTCACGGATTTTGTGGGATCTTCTTCTGATTTGAAAAATATCTGGTATTTGAAGAGTCCTCTCTTTTTCTGCCTCTTTTCTCGGTCCTTGTGCTTTAAATATCTGCCCCTTCTAGGGTTTCTGAGTTTATTGTGGCCTCTGGCTGACTGTTGACACATGGCTGTCTTGATACGTGATCTGTTTGAATCTCTGAAGAAGCGTGTGGGAATATACTTCTGTTTTATCATGATGTTTGTGGGATCTGTTATCATCCTATCTTTAGGGCTTCTAAGATTTCTCAATATTTCTTATACTCGACCTCTCTCTCCAATATCTCTCTATGCTTTTCGAAAGCTACTCGTCTATTCTCTTTTTTGTGCTCCACAGATTTATTATGGAAAGAGACAAATCGGTCGAGGGGTCTGAAACGAGGAAGCACAAACAACTGTGCATCACCGTCCGACAAGAAGTCTGGAAAAACGTCAAAGTTTGTGACGACAACAGTGTCTCTGTAGTTCCCATTTCTCTCATGGCCATAATTCCGGAGCCCATACTCACACATGTGCAGTCACCAGCCCCAAAGCTCCGAATAAGGTGCTGTCTCTGATCCGCTGGACAATAAGTGATCCTTCCATGTCTAAGGCAGAAGATGTTGGTGGTGAAGACCATGTCGCAATTGAAGAAACTACGCTCAGTGCCCATGTGCAGCTTTACCGGCCTCAAAGGAAGTTTGAGAGCAATTAAGGTCTTGAGGATGAGTCATACGCTTCGAGTGGCCACCAATCTCTTTCAGAGCAGACTTATGCTGCATTTACTGCCGTACATCCAACTAGATCTGAGTCATCAGAATCTTCACCAGAGTCATAACTCTCTGTTGATTCTCCGTTGATGGGACTCGCGGTTACTTGGAAAGGGAAATTTTTCAATGTGGCTCCTGAATTGAATAAAGATTTTTACCGGTGTAAGAATCAAATCACTGTTTAGTCCTTTGTGTCAAGTACACCAAAGCCGCTGTGATCACTGTATACTGAGTTTCCCTGAAGCGTCACTCATGCTGTTTTTATCAACATTGGGGAGTACATCTATGCTCAAGATGGAGCTCTTGCTAACTCTCGCACAAAAAGTTGGAGTGTCTGTCTTTTCCCTCGTTGACCTATCACTCACTGTCACAACATTTCTTAGTGAGAACTTCAGCTTCTATGCCTGAACGACGCCACACTCCATCTGCCTCGCCTGCTGAGAAGAAGTCCAGAAAATCCTCAAAGAAAGTTCGCCCTACTGCTGTGGAAGTCTCTCCTGTTCCCGTCACCACAGATCTGGACCCCGTCTCTACTCTGGTGGCTTCACCTTCACCAAGTCTCAAGACAAGTGATGTGCCTGACCCTGTCGACACCGGCATGGCTGATCTTGACGGTGATAGCCTCTCTGCAACCCCACAAGATGATCTGCCCTCAGATCCAGAGGTTGCCCCCCGCAATGTTGAGTTTCCTTTTCAACTCCACCGCTCTAATCGAAAACACGAAGGCCCATCTGTCTCCACTCCTGCCTCCGTGTCTAAAGGTCAACAATCCTCTTCTTCTGAGCCTATTCCTGAGGATGACCCTTTGCGTTCTGAATCCTCTGATTCATCTGTGGGCTCTCAACTCTCTGCTGGTAACTGTTTCTCAAACATTTTTTTTTTCCGCTCTTGCTAAAGAAAATTGGGATAGTATGAGTAAGCGGGCGTGCTCTTCTGAGCGTGTTTTGTCTAGGGCTGTGTTAGCTTTGTCTGGGATTTTCCGCCTTCTTAAATCTCAAGGGTTGTTGGGCACTATTGTGAGTGCACAACCTTTCGCAAGGTCTGTCATTGTTGAGTTTTATGCCAATCTTTCTGATCGTTTTTCTGTTGAGGGGTCTCGTGGGTATGGGAAAGTGTATGTGAGAGGTTCCTTCTATTCTGTGACTCCTGCCTTGATTAATGAGTTTTATAAATGTCCAAACGAGGTGTCTTGCAAACCCTCTGTTTCAAAAGATACTATGGCCTCTGTTCTCACTGGCAAAGTGTTAAAGAAATGGCCCGGTCCGAAATTCTCTTTTCATGTTTCTAAGCTGACTCAGCTTTATTCGGTCCTGTTTAAGATAGGCATTTCCAATTGGTTTCCCACTACTCACAATGCTATTCTCAATCCCACCCAAGCTGAGTTCTTATGGTGCATCACTCACGACCTCAAGATCAATATTGGTAAACTGATTTTCAATCAGATTGGTGCGTTAGCCAATTCCCAAACCGAGCGTGAGCATCTGCCGTTTCCTTCTCTGATCTATCAGCTTCTGATCAAACAAGGCCTGCCCACTCGTGATGCGACTCTGTTGGATCCTCCTGGCCGTCCAATCACTATCCATGGACCAGCTTCTTAAGACTTTGGCACAGTCTGGTCAGAAAGGGGGAGTAGCAACAACTCCAGATGCAACTCCGCATGCCCCAGCAAAAACTTCAATGATGAAGCAGCAGTCCACAACCGCAAGGCAAAGCGTCCAGCAATTCTCATGATAATGATCAGCTCTCCGACTATGATTATAGGGAAGTTTTCTTGAAAAACTTTTTTGTTGTCCTTTTTGAAGTGCTTAAAATTATGTCTTTTTTAGGACTGTTATAGTTATGATTACCTTACTGCCTTTTGGATATCACCTTGGTTATCTTTATTTTGTGCCTTGGGCTTGTTTTGGATAACTTTGTGTTGCAGGAAATTTCTCTGTTACAACATCTATGTGTTGCAACTTCTGTTGTACTAACAGTATGTGATGCAGGGGGAGTTAATCATTCCTGCAAAGAGAGAAAATCTCATATGCAGGGGGAGTTCTTGTTAAATATGGATTCTGACCAATCTATGCCAAAGGGGGAGATTGTTGGCGCCATATTTCCGGTTATTGAAGATCGAGGAAATCCGCCAAGTTTTGGAATTAAAAGATTGGCAAAGATTTGTTTTCCATATTTATTTTGGAATTTATTAGAGTCCTATTCTTATATACTTCTATTAGGACTTAGATTTATTTCCATGTATTTTATTCTAGTTAGGTATCTTTTGTACTTATCTAGAATAGAAGTAGAAATCAACTAGGATTCTATTACCTAGTTAAATTGATTTCTTATGGCCCAAGTTAGGTCTTAGGGCTTATTTTCGTGGCTATATAAGCCTCCAAGACATACAAGAACCGCGGGCATTATTTGGGAGAAAAACCACTTCATAGCATCGAAGTTTTGCCAAGGCGTTCTGCGGAGCAGGACTGTGCCATCGTTGCACTGTGCCATCGCTGTGTGTGCCAATATATACAGATCTGCTGTATAGATCTCAAGGGAGATCAACCGCGTTTCTGAAGGGAGTTCGAGGCACGCGGTGTGGAGCTGCTGTTGGAAGAAACACGGAGTTCGAGTTGTGTACAAGAACGGCATATTACATAAAGAGGGAGTCTTTAGTGTTTTTAATAAGTCCTATTAATGTACACTGTAAATCTGAACTAGTGAAATCGTGTTTGCAGGTCCACGTGGATGTAGGGCACATTTGTGTCTGAACCACATTAATTTCTTGTGTTCATTTATTCTGCTTTTAGTAGATTTATAACTGTGTTAGCCTCAACGAGGTGGGAGGTCGTTAGCTGTGTCATTTTCTCTCCGAGCAGACGCCTCAGGAGGATCTTGTTGGCTACGTACATACACTATTTAAACTACGTCACTTGATAGAACGGTGATGATGCTAAAATATAGCTCACCTAGGGTGGTGTAGAAAATGAACTGGGAGAACAAAGCGGATCAGTAGCTTGACAACTTGATGATCCTGAGGTACCTGCGATCATAGAACACATGAACTAAGCCGGGGGTTGATCCGGCGGAAACCCCTCCGACGCTCAAGTCAGACGTGCTGATCATAGAAAATGTCCAGAGAATACGTATTGTAGTATTGCTCAGTTAATAGGACGTACCTTAATAAAATGAGTAAAACCTCTATTTATATGTCGTTTATCGGGTTGGGTTTGCTTTGTTGGGCCCAAGCCTTACTTGAAGGTGTTTGGGCCTCGGTGATATTGGTCTTCGATATTGGGCTCGTAGCCCAGTAGGTAAAGAAATTGTAGGCCCATTGGGTTGGCCCAATTAGGCATATCAAACGGTGTAACAAATCTTGGCTAAATACAGCTTCATAAAATAAACTATTTCCGAAATCAAATTTTGGTCAAATTAAGCTTTGTATAGTTTAATCGAAAATGAGAAATGTGATGAGCAGTAAGGATTGCAATGGGTCCAAATGATCTTATGTCGGAGAAGTAGGACATGTAACTTTTTGTTTGGCTTGGTGGGACCTTTGACAGAACAGCCTAATCGAATATTCTTTTTGGGGGGAGGGATTTATTTATTATCTTTTTCTTTTTAAATTAATTACATGGTCTTTGAGATTATTGTATGATTAGCATCATACTTATAATTTTACTTCAATTAGTAATATCAACAATCATAATTAATTATTACTCCGTCTCGAACTATTATTACCTCTCATATCATTTTCAAATATTTATTTTTTGCTATAATTAATTATAAATAAAATATGAAATATCGAACTATTGGGTGGTTGTTAATGAAATTGGACCCAACCCACTAATTCCAAAGGTCTACTTGGACCCTATTTTTCTGGATATCACCACAAATAAACCACTTCACCTGAAAATGGTAGCTAGATTTAGCTTGCAACATATTATACGAGAATGTAGATTTACCCAATGCACCTGCGAGTTCCTTCATTGCCAAAAAAAATAAAAAATTATACACCACCATCTAATTGTATTATTATATACATATAATAATTAATATTGTTGGACAAATGTACAAATTTCAAAAAATACACACAGACAGCAACAAATATATACAGACATAGGATTACTGAATAAAATAGTTAAACCATGGAAGCTGTGCTCTTACATCATCGAGATTTCGATTCAAGTTTCTGAGTGACTGAATATGCGGTTCATCGTCTTGAACCGGCACTATTTTAGCGAAAACTCCTTCCTCTAAATAGTCCACCACTCTATTGGCAGCCTCAAGCCCGCTCACGTAAGATTTCTCCTACACCAAAAAATAAATACGAAACTTCTAAATTCGAATTAAATATATAAAATAGTTTTTCTTTTTTTTTTTTACAAAAATGTTTACCTGTGACCATGAGCTGTGTCGGTTTACTATCCAATCTCCAGCCATGTAAACATTAGGGAAAGATGTTGATCCTCTCATCATGTACTTATACGAGCCTTTTAACAAAATTATAATTTGTTGGATTAATCGTAAAGAATATTATGGGGAAGCTTTGTAATTAATAAAAGATGAGCGTTCGTTTCACCTGGAAAGAAATGCGTGTGGAATTTCGGATATCTGCCGATTTCTTGATCAATAACAGTTGCATTTTCAAAGTCCTTGATACACGTTGAAAGCCATGACATCACTTTTTCGACTATTTTCTCGTCCTTTAGAGGCAACAAGTCATTCGCATGATACTGCACTTAATCATCAGATGAAAAATGTTACAGAGAGAGAGAATGTTATAGAGAGAGAGAGAGAGAGAGATATTTATTAACATTTAACAAGTTATTATTACAAAATCAGCCTGGATGATTGTCGATGTACTGTCTTTATACTCATCATATATCGTACTCAAGTCGAAAAAAGTCCATGCGCAAGCATTGTCGAATCCAGAAGACACGTTGCTTGCATACGGTATGCTAACCTGTTTGATAATAAAAAATAATAAATAAATATAAAAAGAGTAAAAGAATTTTTCTTATGCTCAAAGATATTCTTGGAGTATAATAATAAATAAATAAATAATAAAAAACAAAAACAATTAATCCAAGATACCTTTCTATCAAGCCAAAGCTTAACCGTAAGCAAATCTGTGCTGCTCAGTTTCATTACTTTCAGAAACTCTTCTCTTGCACATAATGCTGCACTACATAACATAACTGCCAATTACATCCAAACGATAAATGGAAGAAAAAAAACTCGATGCTACTCGAAAATATTTTAGTAGAGTATATATACCTTCTTTGGACAATTTCTTGCAGAGTGGAAATTCCAACAGCGAATATCGAAGCATCGGCCTTAAAACTCTCTTTATCACATATAACTTGAGAAACGCATCCCGTTTCTTCATTAAGCACTATATCTGTAACTCTCCTTCCCTCGAGAAATCTGCAACCTTGGCTTTTCAATAAATCTTTCCATGGCAAGAATATTTTCTCCCTTGTTGTTCCACAACACCACACCGAATCGAAATTTCTCTGCACCAATCCATACAAAATAAATTAAATCCATTAAAGAAATAAAAAAGAAAAAGCAATTAATGATTTACAAAACCTGGTTTGCTAAAACGAAATAATATAGCATCGATAGAGTTGCAGCTGCACTACATTGCTCAGATGGAGCAAACAATCCCACTTGAATTAATGGATCGAAAACATCACGAAAGATTCTCTCAGAGCATCCAAATTGTTTAAAAAGCTCCCTTGCGGTGACTAAACATTTCAAATACTTGAAAAATTACCCAAAATAATTATCCACTTGGAGTTTATACAAATATACGCAGAAAGTTCACAATAATAAGTAATTATCCTTTTTCTTACTCGGATCGTATTTTCTCCATGAAGAGTCGGTGTTGTCAAAATCGATCACTGCAAACAGAAGTAGTTAAAGGCCGAAGGATCGATTAAAAAAAAATTAAAAAAAAATTACGTATCTCATTTAATATATAAGACACTGGATGAGAATACCTGCAGCCATTAGTGGAAGTGATGTCAACAGATCTATGATGGGTAGTCGAACAAACTACGATTTTTTAAGGTAATTTAATAAGTTTTTTTATAAAATAAAAAGAAAACGGGGCTTTCAACTTAGTGTTGAAAAGCTAAAGTTCATGAGAGGCATGCCTGTGTGTTGAATAATGTCCCGAATGGAGTAGGCAGCGACGGTGAGTCTTTGAATATTGGATACTCGACCTGAAAAAGCATTTGACGTATCTAAATTGCAACGGAGAATTATGAAGTGTCGTAAATAAGTATTATGTATTATGATTTCGAAAGAATGAAGGAGCTGATTGTAGCTTACCTCGAGACCATTCTCTGAATATTGAGCCGATTTTGTCCAACTCGTAAAGGGTTCGACACCAAGTTCATCAACCAAGTTAAATATATTTCGATACGGATACCAAAAACCTAACATCATTATTAAATGTACAAGAAACTTATCAGAACAACCTAGTTCTTCACCATTACAAATTTAACAGCAATCGAACTACAGCAATAACATTAACATAGCATAATAATAATAGTAATATCTTAAGCAAGTAATCTAAAATTAAGAGAAAGTAAAACTAATTAATTACCACGAATAGCGGCGTCATCTGGTGTAAATGATTTGGATTTGGGGCCAAGTTCATAACCTCCTTCCAGAACCGTAACATCAAATCCCTAAAACCCAAAATACAGACAAGGTTTTGATCAGCAATTTTTTTCCAGTAGAAAATGAAATAAAATAAAATAAAACAAAACAAATAAGAGTAATACCTGTTTGCAGAGATGGTGAGCAGCGCCAAGCCCGGCCCAGCCCGAACCGACAATCACAACTTTCTTCTTCTGCTGCTGCTGCTGTTCGGCGGGAGACACTGTTTGATCCTCTGCTCGGCAACAAAACGCGGTTCTGAAATTGCTAATACAGTTCGGGAAAATGGGCCGGGTCATCCAACAGGCCAACATGTTTTCTTCTGTTTTTGCTATTGGCAGAGTCGACACTCTTTCTTTTGTGAGGCCCAACCACAATAATAATTATAGAATATTGCGTCCAAATTTAGCCAATTTCATGTGCACCACTTGACAATCATTATTGAGGTCTATAATTTTTTTGTTCATTTAATTCCACTTATTTTTTATTTTTATGAAAGAAAAAAAACAAGAAACAAATTGACCTTAAATACAGCCACAAAAGTTCAGATAAAATCAAAATACTCCTAAAAATAATATTAGTGTCATATTTTATTAATATTTACATAAATTAAAATTATCGATTTCAATTTCAAAACACTGATGTATTTAGATGCGACACCTACCGGTCTTGATATATAGGGTCCCTAAATATAAATTTTAAAATTGACATTTTTGACAATTTAATTAATAATCATACAAAAGAATTTGATCTTAGTTTAGAACAATTATTCTATGCTAGTCAAATTAGCTATTCATAGTACTGAAAATATATATTAATTAGATGAAACATCTTCAAAAAAAAATAATGGTATATACTATATAGAGAGTTAGGTCAACAGGTTATCAATATTAAACCATGACTGAAGGACTTTTGGAGTAAATACAATAATAATGTTGACATGATATTAAATAAATTGTTAGAAAAAGACTAAGAATGGTAAATGAAAATTGGGTAAACTACAACCAACCCCCGAGGTATGGTCAAATTACGAAAAGCCCCCTCTTGTTTGGATAATCACAACCACCCCTCAACTCCTCAAATTTAGTGGAATCTTCGAGATTATATGTAATATTATCACTTTTGTACCTATTTTATTCCATTCGAACTCTACATTTTGAAGTAAGATGATCATAATATGTGTTTTTTGGCTTGTATATATCAGATTGTGGTGCATCAGAAACTGTATTTGTACACAAGATGGGTACAAACTAGAGCATATTCCACGAAATCTAGATGATTATGTTGAATTTGACACCATAATGGTGGAGGTGTAAGAAAAAAAACATAGTTGAGGGAGGTAGATGTAATTATCCAAACAAGAGGAATTTTTTTGTAAACTGACCATAACTCATGGGGTGTTTGTAATTTACCCATGAAAATTTTGATTAATTTCACTTCCACCAGTCCAAATCTCCATAATCCCGTACGCAACCAAACATACATCCATCCAAATCCAAAGGAAACGCCACGTCATCTTCTTTCCTTCCAAACTAGAACAACAACAACTACACGCATAATAAATAATAATAAATAATAATAATAATGAGAACAAACCCCACCTCAAGTATTTTTCTTTAGTAATTATCAAAAAAAAACCAAAGTATTTTTCTTTATTGCCTCTACGGCTCTACCGTTACACTATAGCATATGGCCACAGCTTTTTCCGTCCGGCCCAATCTCACCGTCGCCGGCTCCGACCTGACCCGGTCAACCTATTTACGCCGGACCGGTCAGGACCCAGCGATTAAGGTATTCAATTCGGGCGGCCGATTTCAATGGGGTGCGCTTTTCACCCGCCGCCCGCTGGCTCCGCCGCTGCAAGCCGGCTCCAGAGCCGACGACTCTGCGCCGTTCGAGATGACGGTGGAGAATGCTCTCAAGGTATTGGGCGTATCTGAAGGCGCATCGTTCGATGATATTCTCCGAGCGAAGAATTCAATTATCGCGTCGTGTAAAGATGACGATCGTGCAATTTCTGAGGTCCTCAATTTTTCCCCTTTTCCCAACGCCTTTTTTATTTAATTCATATTTTATGAAAATTATTATTTTCAATCTAATTTTTCTAGGAAGGGTTTCATTTATTTGTCTTTATGTATGTGATTAAACTGGCTCTGCTAAAGCTCATATTTCTGTGGTGTTTTTTTAGTGTGTGAAAAAAACTCCGATTTTTGTGGTTTTTTTAATTTAAGGCGATACATTATAACTGGCAATTCAATCACAATGCTTAATTTGTTTTACTTAAAGCTTAGCATATACATACATACAGGTGGAGGCTGCATATGACATGCTGCTAATGCAGAGCCTATCGCTGCGGAGAGCTGGCAGAGTCGTAAATAGTAACATCCGTTATGCAGATGTGAATCCCGTAAATGCCCCTGCCCCGACAACAGGGCCGCCTATGCCTGAATGGCTTCAGACTTCGGTCAAAAACTCGTCCGTTTCAGTGGAAGCACCGTCAACTAGCGAGTTAGGCGTGCAAGCTGGAGTATATGGAGCTCTAATGGTCTTAACATACGTAAACGGAGCTTCGCAGTCTTCCACGGTACCATACTCGGGTGCTGATGTTCCCGGTCTTATTTTAGCCACCAGCTTCGGTGCTTCCTTGTACTTTTTGACCAAGAAAAACGTCAAATTAGGTAACGAAAACGAGCTTTTTCCTTGTATAAAATCGTGAAACAAGTTGTAAATTAATATTGATTTTTCTCACTCGTGCAGGGAAGGCAAGTGTTATAACTATTGGAGGGCTTGTAGCCGGTGCGGTGGTGGGGTCCGCTGTAGAGAATTGGCTGCAGGTCGATATAGTCCCGTTTATGGGAATACACAGTCCAGCTTCAGTTGTTAGCGAATTCATACTCGTCTCGCAATTCTTGATCTCCTTGTACTTGAGATAGAAGGTGATCAACTTTTATTCATCCCAAAAAAGGTTTAGCAAAAATCCCTTATCTAGAATGTGTAATGAATGTGTACATTGTACAAATGGAATGGTTTTCAGAAACCTATGTCAGTATATTTGTTCCTTTGATACATATGTTGGATCTTTTTTGTATTATCTTTTCTGTGAAAAATCACAAACGTAAACTAACAATGGACAAATATGCAATAAAATATCACGCAATTCATCGAGTGATCGAACAAACAAATGTCTCAGCGAGCTGCTTCGACGAAAATCTAAGTTACAACATTAAGAATCTAGACAAGCATCTTTTTTTTTTTTAAATAGTGTCATCTGCTACCAGTTTCATCTTGAGAATCCTCTATACAGGTAGGTTTCCCTACTTTCTCGGGATTCTCAATGTTGCTCAAGTCATTATACATTCTTAAAACAGCCCTGGAGAATTCTGTCATCGACTCAAAAACCCGACAAAACCCTGTCTGAAAACCGTTTAATGTTATCTTCTCTGTTTCTTGCATGAAGTTGAGATGTTTCTCCTTCTCCAGATCAACCCTTCTACGAAAACTATCCAAAATATCCTTACTGCTCTCCACCAAAGATTCCGAACGACCCTCCATTTCAATTTCCGTGTTTTTACTAAACTCAATCCTGTTCTCTGTTTTTTGGAAAGCCGAAATCTTTTTATCCAATTCTTTGGACAATCCATCAACTTTCCTCTTTTGTTGTTGCTCGTGTCCTTGCTGGACCCACAAAGCTCTAACATCCTTTGCACAGCTTTTTATCGCGAAAGAAACAGCCTTATCAGGCAACTTGTTCATCGAATCCAACCAATCGTGACATGCTATGAGAAGTGGAGGACCGTTGGATCGAAATTGTAGAGGAGCAGAGGAAGTATTTCTTTTCCTGGAGTGAAATTCAGTTTCGGGTGCAATAAATTTCGATAGCCATCCATATATGGCTTCGATGTAGCCCTTCTGTGCAGACACATACTCCGTGAAACACGAACGCCAATTCAAAAGCTCGATTTCCAGCTGAAGAGTAGCAAGCCGATGTGATTCGTTGCAGAATTTTCCGTACGAAGGACAGGTAAATGTTTTCACTTCAAATATAATCTTGTTCTGGATTTCGTGTGATTCCAACATAACTTTCCAGGTTCTTGTCATACTGCAACAAATAGTAAAACAGTAAAAACTTTATACATTCCTCTCTTTTTTTTTTCAATTAAGAAGTGACTTTGATTTTAGATTTTTTTTTTTTTTACCCTTGAAGTAATTCCTTTATTTGTGGCTCGAGTTCTTCGTCTCTGAGTTTTTCGATTCTGTTTGAAATTGTTTCAGCACTACGAATCGCAACAAGTATTCTGCTGTACAAATCTTTCACCGATGATCTGCTTTTGTCAACTGTAAGCCCTTCGTCTCCTCTTGCATCTTGATTTCTAAGTTGATTGCATTTCCTTTCGTAAATTCTTCGTATGCTATCTCCATCCTACACCACACAATTACACCATTGAAGCATATATAACAAAAGTACATAAGATCACAATTTTTTTTTTTTTTAAAATCCGGCCATTTATTACCTTGACTTCTTCGTAGAGTTTCTTTTCCCAGGCATAGAGCCTTCCTAAGGTAAGAGAATGGCTACCAGAAGACATTCCTCCATAATCATCGAACAAATCATTACTAAACTCCGTCCATGTCGAAGAGCTTTTCGAATTCGACGCCACTAAACTCTTACACGTCGACGAACGTGAAGAAGCGGAACGCCATGTGATCGCTTGAATCAATTTTGTCGAGTTTTCTGCATTGTATTTTGTTGTGTGAATTGAATTACAATCGAAAATTAATTTGGAATTTTCCAGGAAAAAAAGCAAAAGAAAAATGCATTCTTTTAAGTATTATCGCAACCTAAGCATCATAAAGAAAGAAAATCGAGAGAGGGGGACCATTCAAACAATTTGTAAAGTGTCATACTCCACAAAAAGACACAACCCTTTTCAACAAAATTAGATATTCCACATAAAATAGCAAACATAACTTTTTTAAATTCTTGATTCTTGGAAAAAAAATAAAGGGTTCACCTTTAATTTCATCAAGATTAGATTGCAAATGCACCCTATTGCACTCGAGCATCCTCGAAACATCTTTGCCGGAATCATAAGCCCTTATGAAGTGATCTTCAATGTCTTTTAAAGCCTCCAAAAGCTCTCTCCCTCTCACCGGTGTGTCGATAACCGTAAGCCCTTTCTGCTGTGGCTGCATCGCACGGTGCACGTTAGCATTCTCCACCGCCGCCGCCCGGCCCACATTAGCATTCTCCACCGTCTCCTTCTCTGCATGAACCCTTTCTCTCTCCACAACAACCTTTCTCTCTCTCACCACCATTCTTTCATCTTCAAGGTCTGGTATTCCTTCTTGTTCTCTCACAGCCCTCAATTCCTCCTCAGAAATTCTGTTGTGATAAACGCTTTGGATTTCGGGCCGGGTTACATTGTTAAAAGGGTTGAAGAAATCCCACCCAAAATCCCTCTGCGGTGAAGGAGCAGCCATTACATGAGGAGGGGTATTCATGTAAAAATACCCGCAAACTTGTTCTTCTTGCTTCTCTCTCTTCTCTTCTTCACACTCTTCTTCCTCCTCCGAAGAGACTGAACACGTGGAGGAACTGCACGAACCGCAGGGGATGGATTCCTTGGTGGGTTCGGTTGGGGTTTGCTGAAGAAACAGAGGGTTTGAAACCACGTTTTCTTTAGACGGCGGCGCCGCCGCCGCCGGAGAAGGTGGTGGGAATGTGATGTAGAACGGCGAAGGTGGCGAGGAATGGCGGGCGACGAAGAGGTTGATGGCGGCGGAAACTCCGTAGAGTGATTGACAGTATCTGTAGTGAGCATCTGCGAGGGCGTATCTTCTTTCAACGGCTAGTTTTAGCTGGCGCTTTCTTTCTCTGCATATGGAAACTACTTCTTCCTCTTCTTCTAATCTTGAAGCAACACAACCCATGTTGTTCTCTCTCTCTCTCTCTAAAGAAAAGGTGGTGTCTTTGAGAAATGTGGTCCTGGAAAAGTGGTGGGGCTGTGCCAAAAAACAATTTTTTTTGGATTCACCTTTTTTTTACTGAGATTTTTAGGAGATTTAGTGAAGAAATGTGCAACCTTTATGTTATTACAGGTGATTGTTTAGCTTATAGACCAGCACATTTCTTACCTGGGCAGATAGAAAGAAGGTTTTGTTTTAATTTCCAGGAAAAACTGAAAAAAAATAAAAAATCATTAAAAAATTCAAACCCTTTAACCCATTTCATTTCAGTTCAAACTTCAAAAAAAACCCACAAAAAAATAAGCAGAAAGAGAGTTAAAGGTGGAGTCTTTATGCTGTAGTTTTTTTCCAGACACAGAGAAGAAGGAAAGGAGAAAAGGATATACCTTGTTACGTTTATACCCTTTTCTTCTTTTGCAACATAATGAAGAAGAAAAAGAATGGTGATTTTGAGTTGTTCTTAGCTCTTTCTTTTACTCCTTTGGCCAGAGAGATAAATAAATAAAAAATTTAAATTGAGTAAAAATTACTGGCTACTTTTTTCTGTAGAAGGGAAGAGGGTGAAGGTGGAGGGGGGGTGGTAGGGGTGGTGAGGTAGGGGCTCGAGGTAAAAGATGATGCCATTTCTTGTGCTTTGGTTATTACACATCACACATTACACACACTAGTTTCTCATAGTACGGTTCCTATTATTACCCCACTAGTGTGTGTGTGTGTGTGTGTTGTGGGATACAACCTGTGGAATTTTTTTTATTTTTTTTAATGTATGTGAATTTTTAATTAAATGAATTAATTTTTTGATGGGAGTGTGTTGTAAATGTAAATGAGGAGAGAGAGAAAAGGTGCTGGCAAGTAGAAGAAGAGAGAGAAGTAATTGACAAGGAGACAGATGGTGGTGCTGACTAGTGAGAGAAAAGAGGAGTCAAATTTGTTTCTAAACTAGTGTGTGTGTGTGTGTGTGTGTGTGTGTGTGTAAAAAAGAGTAGTCAATACCCATTCAGATTTCACTGATAGATTATGTCCCCGCATGCATCTCTGTGTGTATTCCTGTGTGTAAATGGTGTGTGTGAGAAAGAGAGAGAGAAACATATATATTATATGTATATATAGAGTGTGTTAATGCAGCAAATCTTTTGTTTCTTCCTGTTAAACAGCCTCCTAATTACTCGTAAATTCGTAATTATAATGACAATATAATGATGGATGTTTTTTGCTTTTTGTCTGTTTAATACCAAGGGATTAGTACTGCATTAATAAATAAGAAAATAGTTATTATGTCCCTTTAGTATATATTTTTTATTTTGCAAATATGGAATTATGACCAGTAAATATATATTACTAATTATGAATAATTGGCACACATTGGAGAAGAAAATAAGTTAATAACCTGGGAAACATAGATAGAACCAAAATGGGAAATATCGAAAATGACCTCTTCTTTGTCTAAGCAGTAAAGTTGACCAAATTTCTTGCATGGGAATAAGCAATTTATTTGTTAAGGCGAATCTATTTACATGTCCAAGAACAACAACAACAACAACAACGCTTTTTAGTTTTTCCTCAAATTAGTTAATTAATTAAGGTTTAAATTGTAGAGGTAATATGTACTATAGTATTTAAGTACTACAACAAAATGCTATGCTTTTACCAATTACAACCATTAAAACTCCATCCTTCAAAAGGGTGGGTTAATCGTTGAGACACGTGTCATTAACTACTGTTTAGAGCCGTTGGATGGTTCAATTCAAGAAATGACAGTACTAAAAACATAGAAGATTGGGCCGTGGGGTATTATTACACAAGACTGATTTTGAGCCTCAACCAAATTGAATTAATTGTGTGTGTATTGATAACTGAGCCCAGTAGTCTCTGCTTGTGTGTTTCTGTCTTTTAACTTTTATTTTTTGTCATCACCACATATTAATTAATTAATTAAATAATATTTATATATTACTTGAGGTGATGCATAATATAATGGAAATAAAACCACAAGAAAAGAGTTATATGGGGTTCCGTGAAAATGCCTGACACAGCGACACAGATATCATTTTTTCTGTTCTCACACAGTACTCTCTCTCTCTCTCTCACACACACATGATATATATGTAAAGAAAAGGGAGATGAAGAATCAGAGATATGAAACACATATTACTTATATTCATCCAAGAAAGCTCTGCTTCAGTGATCTTCATAAGCTGAAACTTAAAATAAGAATTAAACAGGTTATTTAGCTTCAAGGACAAGTCACATGATTTACAAAATATTTTTTTTTCAAAAAAAAATTAAAAAGAAAAAAGATGATAACAACAAATGTTGAAAAGATCTGCCCCTCGAAAACACAAACTATAACGATCATCGTCACCTTCGACTCTTGTGGAGAACACAACTATGCCCAAGTATTAGAGAGTCTTCTTCTTCGGTTAAAAGAGAAAAAAAGTTACATTGTACATTAAAAGAATTCATTTTCAACGCGATAAATTTTGTTTTTTTTTTTTCAAGCAGCAGCAGCTTCTGGTGCGAGGGAGTTCGAAGGGATTGTTATTCCACCTCCTTTAACGGAAATATTAGGGCTTCTGACGGAACTAGCCCTACTCACGAGATGTGAATCGAGAAAGACAACCACCACTGTGATGTCATCGTGAAAATGTCTGCGGACCCCACGGTCGATTTTCTTCAAGTCCGAGTATCTCATCTCTCTCTTCTTTGCTGCCTCTTGTAATGCTGTTTTTACCAATCTCCTCGCACTCCCCTGCAATTAATTATAACCAGAGCATTCTTCATTTCTTTCAATTACTAGAGAATCAAATCAAGAAAATCGGAGTTCAAAATGATTAATCGTTGAAGGGAAAACTAAATATATATTCAGGACAGTAACTAGAAATTCGATTCGTTTGGTAATACTTCTCCTTGTTTTTGGTACCATGAAGTTAACTACTTCATGCATTCATTTTGCAATTGTACTGAAAAAAGGAGAATATACTTCAACATATGTCATTCCTTGCTTTAGTCAATGCTTGTGACAAGTTTTAAAATAATATAAAATCTCGACATTAGAAAAATACGTGAAATGTATTTAGGAATTATTAAATGGCTTACGTTGTGTGGATTATTTTGGACAAGATCAACAGCTTCTTGGTTGGTAAGGTGCTCCCAAAGGCCATCTGATGCAAATATAACGAATTGGTCGTGGGGTAGTAACTGGTGCACTGTGATTGCTGGTTCTGCACTCAAAATTGGTCTTTTGAAAGGTTCGCGGAGTCGGAATTTTTGGTATAATGGTTCTCTATTGAATTCAGGTTTTTTGAGATACACATCCCCGATGGATCTTGAGATCTGTACAATAATATATACTCGTTATCAACTGTAACACTGATGGATCTTAAAAGTAATATTAACAGTTGAACTTAAAAGCTATTAAGATAAACACAAGAATACACTCATGGGGGTATTTTTGTTATTCTTTTTACCTTTTCGGCATCACATGTACTAGAAGGGGCATAAGTCATCCTTAAGTCTTCCGCTTTAAGTTAAACTAAGGAAAGAAAAGTTCACATTGCATGAAAGTAGGATTGCGATTTCTTAATTTCGGAATGTCATATAGAATAGAGTTAATGAGTACAAGTAGTGTAATTGTGTGATGACTGATGATTCAAGGATCCGTATCCAGCTTAAAAGAGAACGAAAAGAGGAACCTTTCGAAAAAAGAGGATGGAAAAGATAATACTTGTGTGGATATTTTCTGATTGCACCATTAATATCAATGTAGCAGAATTCTTTCAGAAAGAAAATCGAGCAAAATGAAATCAGCTGAAACACAGTGTGTCTGAAATCACCTCTTGCAATATGGCATCAACCATTCAAATAGTAAAGAACAATGTAAAGAAAGGACCTTCATTAACTCAATTAAGTTCGTTGAACTGCGCCACCTTGCGACCAAATCTAACCAAGCACCGAGATCTCACTATTTTAAACTATAGTTAGCAATGAAAGCAATAGTACAGCTAAAGGAAAGCGATGAAAAGTTGAAAAGAATTAACAAACCTGTATAAGACCCTTAACACGCCACACATTATGCTTCAGAACTACAATATGTGGGTCGTCAGGGTGTAGAGACTGCAACTCCTGTCTAACAGATTCAAAACTCGCATTATGCTCGGCCGATAACTGCATAGCAATTACTTCCCCTGTAGACTTCACAAGCCTTCCCAAAACAGCACGCGAATCACCTGCGTTTGCAATGTAAAGAGTTCCACCACATACGACTCCTACAAGGCAGCAAGAACCAACTGCTGCAATCTGTGGTTTCATAGGCCATTGTCTACTTACAACCGAGAGAAACCCGTCTTCCGTTGCTTGAAATGCCTTCCGTATAACCTCTGGTGACATGGATTGATGCTCCGCCGTGAACCCTTTATCAAGAAATAAATAATCGCCCTAAGTCTTTAATGATAATGAAAAATAACTAACTTAAGAAGCATAGAATCTAGGCCCTAAATCATTTTTTTTTTCTAGTTTCCTTTAGCTCTCATACAGTCATACCACGTTACAATATAGAGGATAGAGGAATATTTTGTGTTTATTCTTCTTCAAGTGAGGCACACATATATATGCACAAGAGACCTAATTACAACTAACTTACAAATCTCAACTATAGTTTGTCTATATGTTAATGATATATACTAACATATATGTTGCAAGGAACGTTATAAAAACAATAACTAGAACTCGACAGCAACACATCAATTTTCTTTGCAATTTAAAATTATTCTAATCGAGAAATACATACAATAGGTTAGATTCGTTGCAAATTATTTCAGCCAATCCATTTTTCCCCTCTGGAAGAGTAAAGTATGTGATTATAAGTAATCCAAGATTCTAAAAACTTCATGTGATCTTACTCTTTAGATGTTGGAAGAGGTGTTCATTGACAAACCGAGAGGTCTCGGGTCCACCATGACCATCGTAAACCCCTACAAAAGTACCATACGGTCCAGAATCATTTGAGCTAAGACAACCAGATTCGAGTTGGCTCTGATCTTCGAGTAAATTATTTGCTTGAACTACAGCCATTGAAAAGTCCCCATTAAAATGTTGTCCAAAGTCTTTATACCAGAGAAGACCATCTTGTCGACCGCTAGCATCCGAACCAGAGTGAATGTACTGATCTGCCCTTGGCCGAAAACAGGCCCGCAAAAAGTTCATTAACCCGGATAACATCCCTCATCTCATCCAAAGAACCCTCCAGTTTATCCACATCTAACAAGCTCGCATGGTAACTTGAACCGATATATAACTCTGTTTATGATTGTGTATCCAATTCTTGTAAAATATGTGCCCTAGGAATCTGTCAACACAACACAACACAAAACCATCCAAATTAGAGTTTGAACAAGGGATGTTGCAATAATACAAGAGAACGAGTGCTTCAAATGTGAAGCAGATCTTTGACCAAAAAATCAAAAAATTCAACATCAACGAAAAAAGGGGTAGGGATGATTTGAAAAGAAAGAGTAGTCGAAATCCACTTTTTTCTCCGGACACATGTTTGGTCAGCAGTTCAAATTTTCTAGAAGGTCCAGCTCCCAAAAGCAAAGACGAAAAATTCAAGGCAAACAAAACCCAAAAAAAACCCCAATTTCTTAAAATCCCAAAACCCTACAGCAGCATCAGCAATTCAACACTCCGAATATCAGACCAAAAATAAAAATCACGCGTATGGGTGAAATAAGCCGAAGAAGTTACCTTAGGAGTTGATTTGTGAGCAACGAAGATCTGAAATCGAAAGAGGTTTTAGATCTGTGGATCCGTCAAATCAAAATGGAAATTATGAAGAAAAAAAAAACAATTTTCGATGTGGATTTTTGCTCTTCGTCGTCCCCAATCTCTTTTTTCTTCGCAGGGGCGATAACAAAGAATTATCAAGGAGAGAGAGAGAGAGAAAAGGGAGAAACAGTAGTGAGAGAAAGTGTGGTATTAACTAATATTAATAATATAAGGGAGTTTTTGATTGGGGCAACTGAACTATGGTCTCTCTCATCAGACAAACCCCATTAAAAACCAACAATGGAAAGCTTCAATCCAGCAAAGCAGAGGACCAGTTATGGGGCCCACACCCTTCTTCCAGATAGAGAGAATTTCTAGAGAGAGAAACAATTGCAAATATAAAAAAAAAAAGGGAGAAATAAATCATGTACAGAGAGAGAATAATGGAGGAGGATCAAAACAAATTTCTAAGAAGAAAGTATTTTATTAATAAATAAATAAAATTGAAGAAAATCAAACACACAATTTGCTCAATGGAGTCAATGAAGTGGTGGGAAAGATAGAGTGATTTGCAGTCGCATGGAATTTCCATACTATCAGCCCCTTGTGATGACACGTGGCGATCAATTGAGGTTCGTAACTTGATCTAAAAACTGTTACCATGATTGAAAACTTGTATTATACTAATTAATATCGTGACTTAATTTTTGATCAATTTCGTGAAATTATATTCCATTTATTAAATTAACAACAAAAATAAATAAATAAATAATATATGATATTAATAAATTAGCTAGTGATCATATCCGAATTTACTCGCATGATTTAAGTTATAGAACTTAATCAATTGAAAATTGAATTCTTGAATTAAGCAATTAGATCACATTTGCAACACATCGATTAGGTCGAATTCGTGTTACATGTGGCAACGTAACGGCCCAATTGGACAACATTAACAAAAATTAAAAATTAGAAAACTAACAATTATTAATTATATTGTTTTTTTTTTTTTTAAATAAATTTATTAATTACAGATGGCTAGTGTAAGAATAAAGACATGTTAGGCATGGCAAATTCAAGAAAGGTAAGCTACTCACTCCATAGACTATTATTTAATCATGTTTTAAACAAGATAATCAACTATTAATCACACGAACAATCCCCTAATCACTTGCTAACATTGCATCTTTAGATTATAAATTCTAAAATTAGAATGTTTTTTAGATTAAAACAAGTAGGCATATTTTATTTTATTTTAACTGTGGGTAGACCCAAAAAGTTATTGAACTAACAAAACATTCAAGGTCCATATGATTGTCATAAAAATATGGGCTTGAATAAATGGAAACGAAGGTTTATAAAACAAAGCCCAAAGATAAGTGATGCGCCGATCATAATTCATAAATCAGTTAGTTCGATGTTTGGACATTTTTTTAAGTTCGTCGTCGACCATTTTTAATTACCTGTGAACACTTGCACTCCTATTAATAACAATGTGCCTTAAGAAATAATATTAAGGGGTAATTTGTTAAACATATTCACCACTAATATCCTTTCAAATCAGGATAGTTGGATTTTGCCGACTTGAGAAAAGTGCTCTATTATTTTCAGACGGAATTACCATCGTCTGAAAATTAAAAAATGTTATCAATGCACCACCATCGTCTTCCGATCCCCCATCTCGCAACAACCATCGTCTTCCTCTGTCGGCGTCGTCATCGAATAAGAATCAACTATCACACACATACACACTCACACACACAGATTAAGTTCAAATATAGAGTTATAAATATGTGAATGAACTTCACCATCTACAACAGATATAATTATTTTGTTTTGGCTTAATACATATATACATCAATTATTTACATACATGAAAACAAATAAGTAGTATAATATATGTTGAATACTCTAGATAATATATATACACACACACAATTACAAAATAAGTACTAGAAAAAGAGAGGTAACAGCAGATTAGATTGTCAATTTATGCACACAAAAATATAAGAGTAGTCATTTTCATTTACCAGATAATATTTTTGATATGATGTACACGATTTTGATTTTGATTTTGTAGTACATATTATTATTAATATTATTAAAAAAACGCGTGTTCTATCCGTGGGGGAAACATGTTTAGTCAATTTCATATGTTTATTTCTTCTTTTAATTTATCTGAATATATTTAATTAATGTGATGCAAATTTAGGTCGTCCAATTTTGTAATTTCAGTCGTTGTACAGTTGATGCATGCATTGCAAACTGCAATCAAGAGACTTTGTCCTTTGCGCTGTTGCTATATATACATTACATACATCTTTATATATATATATATATATA